AAAATAAAATTAGATCCTTACTTTCTAATATATACAAAAATAGATTTCAACTACATTAAAGGCCTAACATGAAAAACTTTTGTTCTGCGGAAGTTATTACAAACAACATGAAAAGACAAGCCATCTCTATATAGAGACTCTAGAGAAAATAAAGTGCATATACAATGCAACCTATTCTGTAAGACAAAAAATTGGCAACAACCAGTATTTACCAGAAGAATACAAACACTGTACTTTATCTACACAGCACACAATGTAACAATATAGATAAACCTCTAAAACATAATAATGTGTTATAACGTAAATTTCAAAAAGTTAGGTAAATATTATACCAATGACATAATGTTTAAAAACAGAAAAAATACTACATCATTAATGAACACATACAAATAAGGTAAAAGTACATAAACAGGCATGAAAAGAATATGCTTGAAGACAGTGATTATCATGACAGAAAAGGAGAGAGGGAACAAGATGAAAGGGTAGGACTTTAACTTACCTAGAATTTTTGCTTATTAAAAAAATTTGAACCAATATGGCAAAATCTGTCCAATGAATACATATGGGCTTGTTAATTACTTTCCGTATGTTTGCTATATTTCACAATGTAAAAAAATTAATTAATGTCTAAAAAATATTTAAAACACACATGAAAATCATATTCTTATAAGATTGTCTTCAAGTCTACTATATATTTATATATTTACATATGTATATATATATGCTCTACCCCTACCTATCAGATACATAGATCAATCTAGAAAAAGATAGATCTAGAAAAATGTTTACCTAATATTAAAGTAACATTTTATCTATAGCATTGGCATTTTTATTATACTTCTCAAATTTTGATAGACCTTCTAATAATGAACATGTATTCTTTTTTTGTCTAAAAGTCAAATATTTTTGCTTTATTTTTTTCTGTATTTTATTCAGAGTTCCTTAGCTTTTACCTTTTACCTAATGTCCACTTCCTGTTTCAGGATCCCATCCAGGATACCACATTATATTTAGCTGTTAAGTTGCCTTAAGCTCCTCCTGGCTATGACAGTTTTTCAGACTTTCTAATTTTTTTAATTTATTTTTGAGAGAAAGAGCAAGAGTGCAAGTGGGAAAGGGGCAGAGAGAATGGAGGATGGAGGATCTGAAGTGGGCTCCATGCTGACAGCAGAGAGCCTGATGCAGGGCTCAAACTCACGAGATCATGACCTGAGCTGAAGTCCAATGGACGCTTAACCACTTAACCGACTGAGCCACCCAGGCGCCCCTGGATTCTCTCACTTTTTATGACCTTGACAGTTTTGAGGAGTACTGGTCAGATATTTTGTAAAATGCCACTGTACTTGGATTTATCTGATATGTTTCTCATGATTACCCTGCAATTATAGGTTTTGAGGAGAAAGACCCCAAGTATAAGATACCATCTTCATGATATCACATAAAAGGTACATACTTGTAACATAACTTACCAATGTTGACATTGACGTTAGTCACCTAAGGTGATGTCTGTCATGTTTCTCAACAGTAAAGTTACTTTTCCCCCTTTTTTAGAAAGAAGTCACTATGTAAAGAAAGAAAAGAAAGAAAGAAAGAGAGAGAGAGAGAGAAAGGAAGGAAGGAAGGAAGGAAGGAAGGAAGGAAGGAAGGAAGGAAGGAAGGAACGAAGGAACGAAGGAAGGAAGGAAGGAAGGAAGAAATAGAAGGAAAGAAGGAAGAAGTCACTATGTGCTTCCCACAGTTAAGGACTGAGTTAGGCTTCACCTCTGAGGGCAGGGAATCTACATAAATTATTTGGTATTCTTCTGAATGGAAGATTTGTCTCTTCTCCATTTACTTATTTCTTCAATCCTTCATTCATTTAATCATTGATCTCAGCATGGACTCAAGGATATCTATTTTTCACCTTGGGTTATAATCCATACTACTATATTTTATTGCTCAAAATTTTCCAGCTTTGGCCATCGGGAGCTCTTTCAGATGGCTCCTGTGTTTATTGGACATACTCCCCTTCAGTGTGTAGCTTTCATTTTGTTTTGTTTTCATTTTTCAAAGTAATATGAAAAAGATTAATATATTAATGATGGGGGAGATGCTATAGATATATTAATAGCACAAAGCACAAAAATCAAGCATGAAGACCTTAACCATAAGTAAAATTACTGATATAACTTAGCTGACTATATTAGTTCAACAATATTATTAAAAAACTTTACCTTATTTTTTGAATTTTCCAAATTAGAAAACACAGCAGATCTGTGCTATTAACAGCAGCTAACCTTTATGGAGCACCCACTATGTCAGGAATCATGCTAAGCCCTTAATTAACATCTACTACTCCATTTAATTCTCACAACAACCCTGTGGCTAAATCCTGAGGAACAGAAGGCTTACTTAGTTCCATCACTCTAGGAGTCAAGGATCCTGTGTCTCAAAGTGAGGTTTTGAAAGAGGACTTTACCTCCACTTTTACCTTAGTCTGTACTTTCTAATTGATTAAGTTCTTTTGAACTTAACTTTTAACTCAAGCAAAAAGAGCTAAAGCATCCATGATGGGAACTGAACCTGCCCCCTTAAGCAATGACAACTGCCCGGACGCCAGCAAGACCCTCATGACTGACCCAGAGACAATGACTGGCCTGACCTGTATTGCCCACCTACATGTACCCACCAACTTTGTCCCACATTCTCCTTCTATAAACCTAGCAGTATTTTCAGCACTTTGGAGACAGTCTTTGGGATATCAGTCCGCTGTTTTCCCGGCGTAGTCCTCACTGCAATAAATTCCTTTCTTGTCTCACCACTTCTCGTCTCTCTGCCTCTGGATGATGTCAGCAGAGTGGCTGAACCTGGTCTGTTTGGGACCCCTGGAGCCAGGCGCTCTTGCACCCTTGGGCCCCGGCTGCAGTCCCTGGATCAGCAGCATCAGTATCACCTGACAATTTGTTATAAATATATATTCTTGGCTCTCACTGCAGACCCCGAATCAGAAACTCGGGTTGGGGCCTAGAAAGCTGTGCCTTAACGTGCCCTCCAGGTGACTCTGATGCACACCAACCCTCAAGAGAGTGATAAAGCCAAGCTTTAAATCTGGGTGTGAGACCTCAAAACCCACCAAAGTCCAAGTGCTTCATCACTTTATGACACTCCCTCCATAATACACAATGAAAGCCAGTGATAGGTAAACTCCTGGGGCAGTTTAATCCTAAAGCCTTGGTTCTAGTTCTTGACCGAATAATTTTAGGTACTAAATTTACCACTAGAGGGAGTCCCTATATCCCCTCAAATATTGAATCTTCAAAGAGTAAAAAAACAAAACCAAACGAAACTATTTGCTAGAGAGAGGTTTTGTATCTGTGTATCAATATTAAAACAATTTGCTTAAGCTATCTAACATGTAACAGCTACATCGGAAGTCATGTTGTATAGGCATAAACAATGGCAAATAAATACAATATATCATAGTTGTCCACTTAACATTTTCATTTCTAAAATAGAACAAAGGTGGGGGGCGGGGGAGAAAGCTAAGGTTTAAGAAACTAATAACATATGATTTAAATGAAATAATCTAATTTAAACTACATCATCACCTCTAAAGTTTCAAAGAAATGCCATTGGAAAAACACTCAAAAACTGATCCAGTTACATGTATAGCTAGCTCCTTCCACCTCACACAGGGCATTCGGGTTAAAAAATGGTAAATCCAGGGGCGCCTGGGCGGCTCAGTTGGTTAAGCATCCGACCTTAGCTCAGTTCATGATCTCACTATGAGTTCAACCCCCACATTGGGGTCTGTGCTGACAGCTCAGAGCCTGGAGCTTGCTTCAGATTCTGTGTCTCCCTCTCTCTCTGCCCTTCCCCCTGCTTGTGCTCTGTCTCTGTCTCTCAAAAATGAATACACATTAAAAAAAAAAAAAAAAAGGAATGGTAAATCCAGCACCTGGTACATAACGAATTCTCAGTAAATAATGCTGAATAAATGGTGAATGAAGTTAATGTAACTCTTTGCCTCCACTGGACCTTTCTCAACCCATCCTAAATACATTAGAATTCATTCAATGCTATGCAAAATAAAATTGTGCTCTTTTCACAATAAATAAATATGTAGTAATTTAAGAAAAGTCACTGAAAAAGTCAAGTTATACAGCTGGTATCCTGGAACAGTAATACCCAGAGATTTTGGAATGCTACAACCATGAATGACTAATCATTGACGTACACTCTCCTTATTTCAAATATGAAATGGCATTCATTGACTACTTAAAGTAATTTATTTAATGCTTACATTTGTTTAAGAACATTGCAAAAAAAATCATAATGTACGTGGTGTGTGTGAGAGAGAGCCTAGAACAATGGAAACAGAGTGGGAAAGAGAAGACAAAGGATTTCATTTCAATGTCTTGAAATGTCTGTTAATAAAAGAGTAAAACCAAAGAAGAGCCCAAAGCTCAGGAGAAGGCTTTCTAGAACAGATTCATTCCATATGTTAGGTGGAGGCTGAAAGAGTACAATTCAATATACATTTTGTTCAAAAATGATACATGAGGCATTTGCTCAAAGGTTTAAAAGTTACATGATGAATGAGATAATTGTTGCTGTAACATATAAATACTAAGATAAGGACAGTGATCCTTAATTTGTATCAACTTGACTGGGCCACAGGATGCCCAAACTTTTGGCCAAACATTTTTTCTGGGTGTGGTTGTGAGGATGTTTTGGAATGAGACTGACATTTGAACTCTTAGACAGAGTAAAACAGATTGTCCTCCCTATAGGTAAGCCTCATCCAATCAATTTAAGACCTGACTAGAGAGAGATGGATTAGATGGGTGATGGGCATTAAGGACGGCACTTGTTGTGATGAGCACTGGGTGTAATAAGTAAGTGATGAATCAATGAACTCTCCTCCTGAAACCAATATTGGACTGTATGTTAACTAAAATTTAAATTAAAAAAATACCTGACTAGGAAAAAAAATCTGAGGGAGAAGGAAAGCTTCCTACCTGACTGCTTAAACTGGAATATTGCTTTCTTCCCCCAACCTTCAGATTCAGCCAGAAATATCAGCTCTTCTTGAGTCTTGAGTCGGCCAGCGTTTGGTCTGGAATTCATGCCATCAGGGCTCCTGCGCCTCCAGCTTGCTGACTGCATATCCTGGGATATAGCTTCCATTTTCACATGAGCCAGTTCTTTAAAAAAGACCATATGTATGGATGGCGAGATAGACGGAGAGATAGATACATAAAAACACACACATATACTACAGTATATATACACATACACACATACTACTGCTTCTGTCTCTCAGAAGAACTCCAACGTAAGGAACAAATTTCTTACCATGGCTAAGCTGCCTACGTGACTGGACCCCCTCCCTGCCACTCCAACTGCATCACCTATCATGATGCCCACCGCCTCGACTCCAGCCGCCTTGATTTTCTTCCATTTCCTCAAACACACCTTGCTCTTTCTGTCATGGGGTTTTCACTCGTTCACTTTTAATTGATAAATTCCCTTAATTACTGAGTTCCTACTATGAATCAAGGACTTTGGTGGTGCCGAGAATATAATGTGAACTGTGCCTACGTGTGTGCAGAACATATTCCAATCATGGGAGACAGAAATAGCATATAAACAAACAGGTTAATTTCAGAGAGTGACATGTGCTTCAAAGGGAACAAAACAGAGTGATAGGATAATGATTAGGTGTTCAGAGAAAACCTCTTTCTGTAGGCACCTTTAAAGCAGAATTCTATGTGATAAGAAGGGGCCAGCTATGTGAAAACCTGAGGGAAGAGTGTTCCAGGCAGAGAAAATAACAAACACGAAAATCGATTCTAAAATGAGCTTGATATATGCTGGGAATACTATAGCTATAACAGAGTAGGGGCAGTGAAAGTAGACGGGTAGGCAAGAATGAGGTACAGCCTTCATAGCCAGAGTAAGGATTTAAATTTTGATTTTAAGCATACTGGAAGTCTGTCTTAGTCCATTTAAACTGCTATAGCAAAAATAAAAACAAACACTTAAACTGGGTGGCTTATAAAAAACAGAAATTAACTTCTCACAGTCCTCTCCCTCATTGATGACCATCTTCTCAGCGCAACAAGCAGAAGGAGCCATGGCGCTCTCTGAAATCTGTTTTATTAAGAGCACCAAAAGGGGTGGGACATCTGGGTGGCTCAGTGGGTTAAGTGCCAGACTCTTAATTTTGGCTCAGGTCATAACCTCACGGTTCATGAGTTCAACCCTCACATTGGGCCGTGCTGACAGTGCAGAGCCTTCTTGGGATCCTCTCTCTCTCTCTCTATATATATATATAAATAAATAAACTTTAAAAAAAGAGCACTAATAAAGCCCTCCCCCTAAAGCCCCATCTCCTAAAACCATCACCCTAGAGGTTAGGATTTCAACATATTTTGGGGAGACATAAGCATTCAGATGACTCAGTGAAGGCTTTGAAAGGTTGGCATGATCTGGTCTATATATATATATATATATATTTTTTTTTTTTGTATTGCAATGTGTACCTGTGGATGTGCAGACCGACCAGGAGGGTTTGCAGTAAAGGGAAATGAGGATAGTAGCTTGGATTATGGTGATGCAGAAAAAATAAAAAAGGAATGATTCAGGAGATGGTTTGGCAGTAGAACAGATGGAAATTGTCAGTGTGCCTGGAGAAAAGACAGGATATCACCAAGGTTTTTGACTTGAATAATCGGCTGGAGGGCAGTTCCATTTTCCGAGACATGGAAGTCAGGGTGGATGGGAATGGGACTGGGGATGGAGTTGGGAGGGAGGGGATCTGCCTATCCTGTTCTCTTTGGACTAGTTTTCCCTCTTTCTTCACCTAGTTAACCCCTCCCCAATCTTTGCATCTCAGTTCAAATGTCACTTTCTCAATGAAGTACTTTGCCCAACTGGTTCAAACCAAACCTCTGTATTAAGTATATGCCATCTTGCACCATGTACTTTTCCTTAGTCCCTGTGTTATAATGCCAAAGGAGGCACTAACATGTTGCCTCCGTTGCCCCTGCTGAGAGCCTTCCCACCCCCAGACTTGTGAGAGAGGCCATCCTAGCTCATCCAGCCACCAGCAAACCCACAGGTGACCAGAAAGATATACAAGAGCCCATAGACCAAAGTAAAAGAACCACCCAGCCCCTTCAGAATCCTGAGTTAGCGAAGGGACTATCATAAGCCACTAGGTTCTGCCATGATTTGTTATATAGCAAAGATAGATACCGTGGCACATCCCTCAGTTGCAATTTTACAAGTATTTGATTAGTGTCTGTCCCTCTGAGGACACTGTGAGCTCTATAAGAGCGAAGACTATTCTGAGTTTAGTTTACCACTCCACGCTCAGTCTGGCATACTATCTGGAATACCATAGGCACTGGATAGGTAACTGGGTGAATGAATACAAGGGAGAGGGGAGGGGAATACATTGTAACATAAGAGAATAAGGGGGGTTACATAAGAGAAGTAACAGAGGACTGGGGACATCCATTTGTTCAAAACAAACTTATCAGCCTAAGTCACTGAGTGAGGAATACAAGACCCAAATGACACTTCCTCTACCTCCAAGAGCTCAGTCTAGCCTGGAGGAGACTGTGCAAAATCGAGAAAATACACTACCAACAAAGAGGGCCCTAAGGTGCTGTTGGGAAGACAGAAGTGTGAGAGTTGAGAGAGAGAGAGAGAGAGAGAGAGAGAGAGAAAGCTTGAATTTAGTCCTGTATTTCCTTGAAAGAGCAGCACAAAGGAAGGCCAAAAGACCCAAAGAACATGGGTGTTCAAAGGCAAAAGAAAAGTCCCCTGTTTGTTATGTATCTCCGGGTATACTGTTCAACAGTTTAAGCAGCTGTCACCTCATCTAAATCTAAGGTCCCTCAGGATGGGGGTCCTTTCTTCTTACCTTTGTATTAGTCCCAGTGTCTAACACAATCTTTTCCAGAAAATAGGAACTCAACAAATAGTTGCTGAATAAATGAAAAGTTAGGGATGAGACGGTAAGCAGCGCTCCTACCAAAGGCATCTTCCAACGGGCCACATTTTCAGATTCAACACAGGGACGCGGACGCGTTGAGCATCAGCTCTAAAGCTAAATGGCGCGTCAGCAGAAGCTGGACCCCATTGGCCTTCAGTTCTGCGTTTCCCTCCCGGTTACTGGCTGATTGGCTTTTGCCTCCTTGGCTCGCAGTCCAGGCTGGAGGGACTGACTGGAGGCGGTGTTCGGTGCGCGCGGCTCTCCCCCAGGATGAAAGGCCCGGCAGCGGGCCCCGGCCCAGGCGCGGTGCCAACCGCAGGCGGCGGGAAGGGACGCGCGGGGCGGACGCGCGGGCGGGTCTCGGCGCGGGCGCCGGGGCCCCCCGGCTTGCCCTGGCCGCGCTCGCGCCGACTCGGGCCCGGAGCGCGGGGACGCGCCGCGTTGCCGTAGAAACGCCGGGGCGGCGCGGCGGCGCGCGGGGCGGGTTCTCGGGCTCCCGGAGGCGGCGGCTCGCGCCCCGGCGCACGCTCGGGCGCCTCGCAGCCCAGGTCGTTGGGCCCAGCCCGGGGTCCCCGGCCGTGCGCAAGGCAAGATGTTGAGGCGCAGCTTGGAAAACCGGTAACAGCCCCGCGGCTTCAACTGGCCTGGGCCCCTCCACACGCGAGGGCGCGGGTGGGGGAAGCGGAGCCTCTCTCTCTGGGGCCTCCGCGCCGAATTCCGACCCTGGCCCGGGGTCTGGCCCGTCGCCGCTGCGATCTGGGGCCTACTTCCCAGGGCTGCGAGCCCCGGAGGCCGGGGGCGGATCTTGGGGCCACGCTCGCCGGGCCCGTACTGCCGCGGGCGGTGCAGACGCGCGGGAGGCAGCCGGGAGCCCGGGCCGCGCCGAGCCGCGCAGCCCGAGCAGCCGCCCCCGCGCGGCGGCCGGCGGGCCACAGCCCGGCCTCTCCGTGCGCCGGCAGTCGGGGTATTGAGGCCAGGCCCCGACGTGGGGACCTGGAGGAGGGGAGCCCGGCTCGGGAGGTGGTGGGATCGTTGATGGTTTGCTCCTTCGAAGCTGCGACTTGCCACGGGAACGTTCCCATATCAAATTAACGTGGCGATGAAGCCATTTCATCTCTAGTGAGAATGATTCGCGTTTTGTGTCCTCTTCTTCTCTAGGGACGCTCAAACCAGACAACTGCAAGACGCTGTCACAAATGTGGAGAAGCATTTCGGAGAGCTGTGCCAAATCTTTGCTGCTTATGTGCGGAAAACTGCCAGACTGCGAGACAAAGCAGACCTACTGGTGAATGAAATCAACGTGTATGCCTCCACGGAGACCCCAAATTTAAAGCAGGGCCTGAAAAACTTTGCCGAGGAGTTTGCCAAACTTCAGGATTATCGACAAGCAGAGGTATGGAGTGAGGTCACAGCGTCATTGTTATGAATGAGCCCTGAAGTAGTGGATGAAGGAACCGTGAAGACTTCCACTTGTAATCCCCTAACTGCGGTGGCGAACGCACACTTGACGATACACGTGCATTTTCATGTAACTCTGTGTGAGTCTATTAAAGGGAAGCTCCCTGTGATTTGTGATTTTACCGTTTTCAAACTAAACTTTAGGGTGTCCTGCAGTCCTGCATTTCCCCACTTCATTTGCCCGCTTTTGGCCAAGGGGTGGCTATTTACAGGGGGTAGTAAACATAGTACCCATGGGAAAGAAAAGAAGCAGGACTTGTGGCTTGTGTGCACGTAAGTATATTTTAAAGTATGTCTGGAGATGGAAGATGTTGAGAGTGGTAATATGAGTGAATGAGTAATAATTGGACAAAAGATCTTTGCTGCTTCAGTGGTCTGGAAAGTTGACCAATATTTCATTGACCAAAAAAATAAAATAAAATAAAATAAAATAAAAGCAGCAGTGATTTACTGATTCATAGATCCAAACTAGTAGTGAGACTTGGTGGAGTGGCTTTGGGTTTTTTTGGTTATTGTTGTTTTTCTTTGGAAAGGAGGGAACAAGATGGTGTTGTAATTGTTTTTCTTCATGAAAGTCCATTTTTACCTTTAAAACCTCGTAAGCACTTTCACTTCTGTTTATTTTAGGTTTTAAGTTACAGCTTAACTGTCAGAAAAGTGCCCCGTTAGGATCTACATTGCTTCTATTGGACTCTTCTCATCAGTGCTTTTGGTACTTTTTAAAAGCCTAATCCAGAAATTTCAATTATCAAAAAAAAAAAAAAAACAAACTCACAAAAACAAAGATAATGATCTTTGGACCTACACTTGCTAGTCAAATGGAAATCTGAGTAGTAATTAGATTTGGGGGTACTTTTGGGGAAAAGTTGAGTTCTTGTCATACCATATTCTTCTATAATAAGCTACTCTCAGTTAAACATAACTGGGGACTTTGTGTTCAAAAATTATTTATACTCACTGATAACCTTAAAATTCCATGTTAAGACAATAATTTCAGTGCCCCTTTCTAGAAAACCTTTATGCTATTTATCAAATAGCAGAGTGAACTGATTTACATTTGTTCTTTTTTATTTCCCCTGCTTCCCAAATGGTGGAGGTGCTAATGAACAATGAACAAAAGGTAGGCAACAAAAAGAACAGAGACTTAGATGGCCCTTGACTGCATAATCAGTGTGTGATTATTTGAAATCTTATAGACTAAACAGGATAGTTTATCTGAGTATTCATGGTTTTGATTTTAGGATTCTAATATTTAAATACTCGATGAGAACTTGATTTTATTTTCTGAAAATCTTTCACAGTGAAACATTCATACTCATTTTGTTTATAGGAAAACCAATACGACGTGAAAAGTACTGACTATGTAAACGTGAATCATCAAAAAACGCCTTCTTCCTGGTGTGCCTGGGTGGCTTAGTCAATTAAGGTTCCGACTCTTGCTCTCCCCTCGTGTCATGATCTCACTGTTCATGAGATGGAGCCCTGTGTTGGGCTCTGCGCTGACAATGCGGAGCCTGCTTGGGATTGATTCTCTTTCTCCTTTCTCTGTCCCTGCCCCCCTCATGCACTCTCTCTCTTTCAAAATAAATGAACATTTAAAAACAGCCTTCTTCCTCCCCTAAAAATAATGTTCATTTTGAACAATAATGTCATCTTCTATTACTTGTCCTGATGAAGAAAATTTTAATGTCCAAGAGTTATTTTTCTTACACTATACTTATATATTTGCCTTTAAAGTTTTGGGGTTTTTTAAACCCCAAATTTTGAGAGACAGAGAGGGAGAAAAAGAGAGAGTAGGGGCAGGGAGAGAGGGAGAAAGAGAATCCCAAGCAGGCTCCTCACTGTCAGCACAGAGCCTGACTTAGGGTTAGATCTCAGGAAACATCTCATGAACTATGAGATCATGACCTGAGCCGAGATCAAGAGTTGGATGCTCAACCGCCTGAGCCAACAGGCGCCCCTATATTTGTCTTTCAAAAAACCTGCTTTTTCAGTGCCTTCCACTAGCACAGTTAATTACTCAAAATGAGATAAAAAGTGTAATGTTTAAGAAAAACGGTTTAATTCTTTTTTTTTAAATTTTTTTTATGTTTTTTATTTATTTCTAGGAGAGAGAGAGACAGTGTGAGCAGGGGAGGGTCAGAGAGAGAGGGAGTCACAGACTGAAACAGGCTCCAGGCTCTGAGCTGGCAGTCAGCACAGAGCCCGACGCGGGGCTCGAACCCACGAACCGCGAGATCATGAACTAAGCGAAAGTCGGACGCTTAACTGGCTAAGCCACCCAGGCGCCCCTTTAATTCTTTTTTTTAATTTGAGAGGGTGAGTGCAAGCAGGGAAGGCGGCAGAGAGAGAGAGAGAGAGAATCAGAGAATCCTAAGTAGGCTCCATGCTCGGTGATGAGCCCAACATGAGGCTAGATCCTACGACCTGGGGATCATGACCTGAGATGAAATCAAGAGTCAGCCGCTCAAGTGACTGAGCCACCCAGGCGCCCCAAGAAAAACAGTTTAATTCTAAATAAAAAATCAACCACGCAGTTTGACAGCTCAGCAACACTGAGACCATTTGTCTTGTTCTCCAAGCTTTGGTAATTTGCAAATCGTTTCCCAGAAAAGAACTGCAGCTAATACAGTGGTCTGTAAGCTTTTTTTTTTGTTTGTTTTTGTTTTTGAGGATTTGTGTCATTTAAAATTTGTCAAATATGCTGTATCTTTCAGCTTCAGTTTTCTTATCTGGAAAGTTGGACTAATACTTTTGGAGATAATATATGTAGAATATCCAACACTGTGATAAACACACTGACAATGGTAGCTGTATTAAAATTTGAGATATCTTGAGACTTACCCAAAAGCAACTATGAGGTAGAAAAGTAATACAGAGATGATCGTGTGGCAGAGATAAGCTTCTTAGAAACTGGAGACACTTTCTTGCCATATTGTATACAAGGTACTTTCCTTCTTTCATTGTACTCTGCAACTTAACAGTTTTTATTGTATTTGAGTTTAGATTCTGAGTTTTATCAATTTCTGGTGATTATGCTTTTTTATAAACTCTGACATTATAAAACATTACTCTGTGTAGTAATTATGTTTAGGTTAAAGAGTACAGGTTTTATTTCAGAATTTAAATTTTGACATGTCTGTGTTTCTTTTCAGTTATATTTTATAATAATTTTCAATAGGTTGAAAGACTTGAAGCCAAAGTAGTTGAACCTTTGAAAGCTTATGGAACCATTGTAAAAATGAAACGAGTAAGTAAATTCATTTTTCCTACTATTTGTTAGGTATTGTGGCAAAGAGGATGAGGTTTCCAATATCTGTCCTCAATAAAAAGTATAATGTAGTGTTTACATAGTTCTTTTTACACACTTTATGAATCATCATTTCTTAGAACTTTGAGAGTAGTGAAATATTTTTATTGAGTTTACTAAGTAGACTATAGCAACATAAAACATAATTATAGAAAGTTTAAAATATTTAATATTTATAGTCATGAAGAATATATGGACAGAACTTGTTTTACTAAATGCATATAAGTTTATATCAAGTTTATATATTTTTATTTGAAAGCAGCCAATAACAAGGAGACTAAAAGTGAGTGTAACAAAGCTCTATTTTTTTAGGGAGGTTATAACTGACATATTAGTTTCAGTGATTTTATATCTGTGTACATTGTGAAACGATCATCACAAGTCTGGTTAACATCCATCATCATACATAGTCAGAAATTTTTTTTCTTGTGATGAGGCTTTCTAAGATGTACTCTTAAGAAACTTCAAAATATGCAATACAGTGTTAGTAACTATAGTCTCCATACTATATGTTAGAGCCCAAGTTCTGTTTTTTAAATCAGCTTTGAGGTATAATTTACAGGCAGTAAAATTCTCCTGTTTTAAGTGTTCATGGAGTTTTGACTGTGTATACACACGTAACTACCTCCACAGTCAAAATTTTATACGTGTAACATTATATATATGGTAATAGGTTCGTATTGAAATATCTTGGCTGTGTCACTATTTTGAGAAGATATGAAAGAAATGCACACATTCACAGGCACGCTCTCACACACACACTGATCCTGCAGTAGTAATAATTCCTATGGTAATGATCCCTGGACCAAACAAGCAGTGTTTTCCCATTCTTAAAACAGAGTGTGTGTATTTTACTTCTTAAATCCAAGATTTTTATTAATCAAAGATGCCTATTTTCAGGATGACCTCAAAGCTACATTAACAGCAAGGAATCGAGAAGCTAAACAGTTAACTCAGTTAGAAAGAACACGACAACGAAACCCTTCTGATCGACATATTATTGTATCCTTTGACTTTTGATCTTTAAAAAAATGTTTTGTAAGGTATGCTGTACAAAAGTAAATGTGTATGGAAATTATGTATTTCTACTTTTAAATTGTGCAGAAAATTTGAATATAAAAGTTGAAAAGAAACATATGCATTTACAAATTCTCATTATAGAAATCAACTAATTTTAAAGAGAATACACCACCTAAATTCTGTCCCCTCAAGTTTTATAATAGATATTCAAAAAGTAAAACACTTATAAATGTAGATATTTTTATAAAAAGTAAGTTCAAAATTCTGAGGTTTTGTTTCACATGATGACTAAATATTAATTATAAAATTAACTTAAAGATCTATCATGACTCCTAGTATATCAATGCCCTGTCTGTCCTGCTTTTGAGAAAAGGAAGGAAAAGTCATTTTTCCCCAGTATAATCCTCTTCAACTTTAAAAACAACAATTTGAAACCACAATTATGACTGCCAGCCAAATACCCTCAGGAGGTTCTAGAGTAAAATTGAGGTCCTTAGCTGGACACAAAAAGATCTAGATAGGACTATGAACTGTGACAAGAAAGAATGACTGTTACTTAAGCTACAGAGTACCTTGTTCATGACTACATAAAAGGATAGAAAATAGTTCCTGGCTAACTGCCAACAGATGGGATAGGTGCAATTGTATAGAAAGTACTAATTTATCTTGCTACCTCTTTTTCCCATTCCTTTTGTCTCCTTCCTACTTCCTGAAGGTTTTTACCGCTAGCTCAGCCAATTAGGAGTGGCCCTACTGGGGGCATTTGAGGTTCCGTAATACCTCCATTCCTGGAGGGATTCCCTGGAGCAATAATTTGGGGCTGCAGCAGTTGCCTAGTCCTCCTTCCTTTGGACCAAAGGAACATAAGCCCAACCTTGGAATAAACAAAAATGGGCAGCCGTAGGGCTGGAGTCCCCATCTGGGGCTGGGACAGAAACATCTAGTTAATGCTTAAGACTTAACAACTAGATTACGGAGTCTGGGTTTTGAGCAAGTCAGAAAAGCCAGAGAATGCTGGAAAATTCATGGCTGCCAACTAGGGACTGAGGCAGAGAGACCAGGTCGTCACCAGTTTTTAAGAAGTAAGCAAGAGGTCAAAATTTTCTTGTTTTGTTTCAAGGAGGATACATAAAGGCAGAAAAATGTCACATCTAGAATCCCGAGTGGTTGGCAGGATTGAATCAGGGGTATTAGTGTGGAGATATAACACAGAAATGAACATTCCTAAGACAAAGATGTTTCTGACTTTGATGGTCTGTTGTAAACACTGCTATGGAGGAGGCAGTCTTATACTGTAGATGAAACTGGTCACTTAGGTTCACATCGGGGGAAATAAATGCAACAACAGAACAGATTACAGCTGTAGGTGAAATGCTATGCTCACTGGAAAAGTGAGTGGATTTTGACAACCTAAGACTAGAAAATAAAGGACAATCTACATATAAATATATTCAATATAAATATAAAAATATTCAATCATAGCATTATAGAATATTTACTAGGATGGACCCTTAAAATTCATCTGATAGTTTAAAAGAAGCAAGCCTGTTAAGTTCAGTATGTAAAAAACATGGCGTAGCTCTGATATAAGAGAATGGGACAAAGAAGAATCTCAGGACTCTGCCTGTGTGCTCAATCAGCAAGGCCCTGGGTGGCTTTGGAAAAAGCTTCCTGTAACAGTTTGGAAAACACCAGTCTGCCTCATCATTTTATAGGCCATTTTACACTCATGGCTAATTTCCTTAACTATACTGATACCTCTAACTCACAGAGTTGTGTCATAGTATTTTATTTATTTTTTAATGCTTATTTTTGAGAGAGCATGAGCAAGGGGAGGAACAGAGAGAGGGGGGACAAGACCCAAAGCCAGCTCTGTGCTGACAGCAGTGAGGCTGACATGGGACTTGAACTGATAGGCTGTGAAATCATAACCTGGGCTCAAGTCGGATGCTCAACTGACCGAGCCACTCAGGCGCCCCTCATAGTGCTTTAATCAAAAGCATTTCCTACTCAAATTGATACATTATAGGATTTTGAAGAGTTTTCAGGAAAAAAAAAAAAAAAAAAAAAAAAAAATAGAAACCTATGTCTTTTTTGTTAAAAATAGCTATGTTAACTTTGGGTGAGTTGTTGTGCCTTAGTGAAAGGATTTGAGACTTTCAGAAATGAATATTAGTTGGTGGAGGGTGGGGGAAGATTAAAACACAGGTGTCCTAGCTGTATGTCGCCTCTGCTTCTCACTCTCTTTCCTGGTTTAGCCCATTCTACCTATGTGTCCAAAAAACATTTTTTTTTTAATTTGACACTATCAGTAACTGGGGAGGGCAAAGACATAAGTCAGAAGGAAGTAGTCACAAGTAAAGAATTGCATGAGTCACATGTAACACTATTAAGAATTTAGTCTGCTTGGATATTCCCATTAGAAGGTTAATATGCATCAAATAACTGTTAGAAACTTTTTCATACCAATCTACAAAGGAGTTCTATTTTACTTGTGAATTTCCTGTGATAAAGTTATATTTTTAAAAATCTCAAGCCCAGGGCACCTGGGTAGCTCAGTTGGTTCAAGCCTCAGGCTCTTGATTTTGGCAGTGGTCATGATCTTGCAGTTAGTGAAATCGAGTCCTGCATTGGACTTACTGCTGTGAGCACGGAGCCTGCTTGGGATTCTCTCTGCCTCTCTGGCACATGTGTGTGCACTCTTTCAAATAAGTAAACTTAAAAAAAAAAGTTAAAAGTTTTTATGCTTTTAAAAACTTTACACCTTCGTGGCAAACGTACACATACATATAAATGACTATTTTCAAATACTTAGCATCTTAAAATCATGTACTTGAATTATTCTAGATTCTTTTTTAAGTTTATTTATTTTGAGACAGAAACACTGCAATTGGGGAATAGGCAGTGAGAGAGGAGAGAGAGAATCCCGAGCAGACTGCGCTGTCAGCACAGAGCCTGTTGCAGGGCTTAAAGCCACGAAACCGTGAGACCATGACCTGAGCTAAAATCAAGAGTCACTTAACTGAGCCACTCAGGTGCCCCATGAGTTATTCTAAATGTAAGAGTAAAAAATCAATATAAAGTTATAATTAATGTATAATCTAATTGCAAGATTATAACTCTGAGCATATGATTTTAATTTATTGAAAAAAATTGTTCGCTTTGAAATGTATTTTTTCCTTTATGAAAAATTTCAGTCGCAGGTGGGTAATAAAGTGGTGTGTCAAGAAATGGATCCTTCTAGTAAACTCTTTCACTTATTTCAATTTATACATTTTCTTGAAAAAGCAAGGGCTATATGTCAAAACAGTATGTGTCACTAAAGTTTGATGACATGCACGTTTTTCCCATGGATTATTAAATGATTATATTTGATACTTTTGAGTAAATATACTACTAGTACAGGAAACAAAACTGTATTAGAAGAATTTAATCAATAATTAGGCTATGTCTTTTAAGCCTCTACTGTTTAATAACAAAATCTTTTAAATACTTTTGGGCAACTACAGTTCTTAAAGTAAGAGATGCTTTTTTAAGTGAAATACATGAGTAGATTAGAAATGTTCTGCACTTTACAGTACTGTAGCCACTAGCAATATATGGCTGCTGAGCTCTTGAAATGCAATTAAACTAAATGAGGAAGTAGTTTTTAAATCATTAAATCTTACAGTAGCCACATGTGGCTACTGGCCACCATACTGATTATACAACACAGATTTAGATAGTATGAGTACTTGTCATTTCGGTATATGAAGCAAAGCATTAAACTTGCCATCTAATTTCTTACTGGTATGTACCTTTTGTAATAAGCATTAACTAAATGGTAACAGTGTGATAATATACCCCATCCTGAAATAAATATTTGTAGCATATATTCTCCTGTATCTGATTAGGGTATTTTAAGATTAGAAACATCTAATGCATTTGGAGGATTAGAAAGTTGAAAATACTTAAGTCACAAGTCCATTCTTTTTTGGAAAATAAAGGGTTAGAGAGAAGAAAAAGAATAGATTGATAAATGGCATAGACAGTAAGACAGGTGAAAGGAGTAGAAAATACAGAAAATTGTTTTACAGTAAACAATCCAAGGGTGATATAGGGGAAGAAAATGGTTTCGTAGAAAGAAAGGGAAGGAGTTATGTTTTCTTTTGTCTGAGGTCAGGAATCATGTCACTTTTTTAAAATAAAGTTCTTTATTCTGCACGTGCTTATTATATAGATCGTTTTAGTTTATGTGGTAAAATATATTCTTGAACAATTTACAATGTTACACCTAAAAGCCAATAGGGCAATGGTAACATTTACAAATAGGCTCAGTTGAATGGATTCGAACTTGAACTGTTTTATATATCTTTGGTTGGGAAATAACTTTTTTGCAGGCAGAAACTGAATTACAGAGAGCCACGATGGATGCTACCCGAACAACTCGTCATCTGGAGGAAACTATTGACAATTTTGAAAAGCAGAAAATAAAGGATATTAAGGTAATAAAGTAACTGTTAAAGTTTGAAACATGTTTTCTAATCTTGTTTATTTAAATGTATGAAAAATTTAAGTTATTCTGATTTCTTTAGCCCATAGTCTGTAGGAAAAAGGTACTATAAATAAAAATCTATCAGATGTTATTTTCCTGTTTCCTCAGATATTCAACTTATTCCATTTCTATTTAATCAAAGGAAACTAACATTTACTATATTTTGGTGCATCCAGTGCTGTTCCAGGCACTTTATATGAATTCTCTCTACAGCAACTTCGTAAGAATGAGATGGTGTTATCCATATATTTCATAAAATTTAAGCAAAGATAGAAAGTAATTTACCAAAGTATCATAGCCAAAAATCTGAACTATAAACCAATTATGTATTTTAAAAATCTGTGCTCTCCATTTTAATATACTCATTAAATGCTCTCTAGTAGCTAGATATTATCAAATAAATAAATAGGTAAGAGTAGCCAACCACATAAATTTGCATCCACCATGATAAGAACTGCCTTATTTTATTGCAACATAATAGATTTGACATCTTTGGGATCATGGACTTCAGAAGTCTCCAGTGACTTTTTCATATGCATCTGGAAAGATTTGGAGGATTGCTTATGGCCGTATTATGTCCTTTAAAACAGGTCATCTAGGATGTGTTTTGGCTTGTTGCAAATTTTCTGGGGAAAAGCTTTAAAGAAAAATATTTTTTGTCATTTTACAACTATTAACAAAGAAAACATCCTGCTTTCAAAAGTTATGTTCTTATCAACAAAATAAGCACTGTCGGCCATTTAATTATATCATTCCTCTTTACAGTCCCTGAAACAACAATCATTTGCACCTTTTTCCCCCCTTCACAGTTTTAAAGGATTTCAGAACTTTGATTTTTTCTGACAGCCATGTTCAAAAGTCTATGGTTTGGTCCTGAAGACCAAAACCCTTTTTTAAAGCCTCTAAATTCACTTTGCTCTCTGCTTTGTAACAGTAGCTTACCACTCATGAAGATCATCTCAGGAAGCTGCCCTGAGACAACCTCCATTTACTGAGGTGGGAGAGTGAGGGCAGGATATTATAGTCGCTGACATCGTCTCAGAAACTGAGGGATAAAGAAAGGATATTAAAATAAATAGCTTTAACCTGAACAATGAGAATGGAGACTTGCGGAGGTATGCTTGATTCCATTGCCACTTGATGGCTTCTTCAGTGATGGCAGTCTGATTCCTCTCTCCCACTGCTCCCCATGCCTGCAAGATTTCCTTGTACACATGGAATGAGCCTTGGGGCTCACTTCAGGCATAGACTACCTCTACATGTGTTTTTAATTTCCTGAGCGACCACCAGGTACATAACAGGCAGAGAAATTGAGTGCAGAATTCCCAACTGCAATTCCTAGTACCTGGGATTTTCTGAAGCATTAGGACATAGAAAGAGGGATTGCATCGTGGAGGGTGCGCAGAGAAGGGCTTCCAAGCTTTTCTCTTTGTCTACTGTATTATACCCTTGGAAGTCTCTTGGTGGTCACAAAGTGTGAGACAGGAAGAAACCTACTTTTTAGAAAATTGAGATATAATTCATACACCATACAGTTTCCCCATTTAAAATGTACAACTCAGTAGCTTTTAATGTGTTCTGATATGTGCACTCATCACCACTCAATTTTAGAACATTGTTGACCTAGAACTCAGTTCCCCCACCCCAGCCCACCCCAGCCCTAAGCAACATCACTTATCTCACGCCTCTATGGATTTGGCTACTCTGAACAGTTCATGTGAATGGAATCATGACATGGTTTTTGTAACTGGCTTCTTTCACTTAGCATAATGCTTTCATTATTAACTATACATACATATATATGTATATTAGCTATATACATGCTTTCATGTCATAGTATGTATCCTATCAGTATAGTCCATTCTTTTTTATGGCCAAATATTCCATTATGGGAGTATACCTCATCTTGTTTATCCGTTCATCCATTAATGGACACTTGGGTGGTTTCTACCTCTTGGCTATTGTGATTAATGATACATTCATATACAAGTTTTTGTATGGACACAAATTTTCATTTTTCTTAGGTCTACATCTAATTGAATTGCTGCATCACATGGTATAACCGTATCTTTAATCATCTGAGAAACTGCCAGACTGTTTTCCAAAGTGGCTCTACCATTAGGTTCAAATTTTTCTGCATCTTCATCAATACTTGCTGTTCATCAGACTTTTTCATCACAGCCATCCTAGTGGGTGTGAAATGGTATCTCATTGTGGTTTTGAGTTGCATTTCCCTGCTAATGGTTATTGGACATTTGTATGTCTTCCTTGAGAAATGTCTATTCAGACCCTTTGCCCACATTTTAATTGGGCTGTCTTTTTATTATTGAGTGGTAAAAGTTCTTTATTCTGGATACAAGTCCCTTTTCAGATCTATGTTTTGCAATTATTTTCTCTCATCCTCAGGGTTCTTTTCACTGTCTTCATGGTGCTCCTTGAAGCAGAAAAGCTTTTATATTTGAAATCCAATATATTTGTTTCTTTTTGTTGCTTGTGTTTTTAATGTCTTATCTAACAATCCACTGCCAAATTTGGGATCATGAAGATTTATCCCTGTTTTCTTCTAACAGTTGTATAGTTTTCATAGTTCATTTAAGTCTTTGATCTATGCGGGTTATTTTTTATGTATGGTGTGAGCTGAAGGTTAAACTTCCATCTTTTTGCATGTGACTCCAGTTGCCCAAGCACCATTAGTTGAAGAAGCTAGTTTTTCCAACTGAATAGCCTTGGAACCCTTGGTAAAAATCAGTTGAGATGGTTTTGCTTCTGGACCTTCCCTTTCATTGATCTATTGGTCTATCTTATGCCAATACCACACTACATTGATTAGCACTGCTTTATAATGCATTTCAAAACCAGGATGTGTGGGTTCTTTTACTTTGTTCTCTTTAAAGATTGTTTTGGCTATTCTGGATCTGTTGTAATTCTGTATGAATTTTTGAACCAGTTTCTCAGTTTGTATAAAGAAGTCAGGTGGAATTCTGGTAGGGATTGCATCCAGTCTGTCAATCAATTTGGGAAGTATTGCCATCTTACAATTAATTTTTTCAGTCCATGAACATGGAATATTTTTCCATTTATTTAAGTATTCCTTAGTTTATTTTAACCATTTTGTAGTTTTCAGACTGTAAGTTTTGTGGGCTTTTTTTTCCCCAAACGTTTTCCTAAGTATTTTATAATTCTTCATGCTATTGTAAATGGAATTGTTTACATAATTTCATTTTTGGATTATTCATTGCAAATGCACACAAGTATTGATTTTTGCACACTGATCCTCTGTTCTGCAACCTTGCAGAATTCACTTATTAGTGCTGATAGTTTTTTTAGTAAATTTCTTGAGATTTTCTACATACAAGATTATATCATCTATGACAACATACACTTAAATACAGACCCCCGTGATCTACTAAACTTCCAGAAATGAGTCCCAGAGGTCAAAATTAGACTCTGTTAGTGTTCTTTCCTCCTCACTATCAAACTGTTTGTTTTCCCAGTCAGGCCTCATTTGAAATCTTAAGGAGGGATGCCCAAATTCCAGAAGTTTCAAAGACAAGTCAAAAAGGAAGACAGTACTGCCCCATGTTGATTTTAGCATGTCTCACATCTCTGTTTACAATAGAAATTCTTGGAAAAGTAAAAAACATTGATGCCACTCATGATTTTGGGAAAAACAAACCTAGAACATTCTTATTCTTACCTTATATCAGGCTACTGCTTGAGATGGGGGCAGAGCTTCTGGCTCCTCTAACCTCTCTGGGGGCAGACATTAGTGAGCCCTGCTGATTACTGTACTACTGTGTTGGATGTGGGTTTAATTGACAAGTCCATCTGAACTCTGGTAGCAGCAAAAGTGACACAATTAATTAATCAGCAAGATAACACAATTTTTAGATGAAGACTTTTCATAGGAACCTTGCAAAAAATTGGTCTTCCTGAAAAAAGCTGGTATGGAACTTAGCATACAGAATGTGGATAAAAAATCACAATCCCGTTTGTTTCCCAAATAATAGGAAAAATCATCAGTTATATGGTGAATGTCAAGAGAATTTCAGACCTACAGAAAGGATCTTGCCCAGAGGTCACTCCTAGAACAGAGGGACAGGAATCCAGTATGGGACAAAGTAGCTGACATGAGCAAGAAACATCTTCAAATTTAATTTTTAAAAGCTTTATTTTTCTTATAACTAAATATAAAATAACCATAAACTTTCTACATGAAATTATTAAGAAGAGTGTAATATGTAATAATCCTACTACTCAGAAATAAGTTAGCATTTCAGTTTATGTCACTACAACTTTTTCTATGTACACAGACACAAGAGATAGGATAATTCTTAGGCATTGACTATGTCACATGTTCTATGCATTTTATTTGGATAAACTCATTTACACCTCGATGAGGTGTAACATCTTTATGAGGGAGACATTATCATTACCCATATACAATTATATTTAAGTGGACAACACTATATGTTGTGTCTCTTTTTAAATGTCAATATATCATAAACATATTTGCTAAGAAACAGAAATGCATACCATCCTTTTGGTATGGATATATATATTACTTTAACCAGTTCTTATTGGTGGGTATCAAGGTTATTTTTGTAATTATATATCTCATTGCATCATTAAACATTAGCCTTTTTGCTGGTCCAGTTGTTCCTTTGAAATAAATTAAGAGTGGCATTTCTGATTCAAAGAGCATACACCCTTTAGATTTTGATACCTTCTGCCTACAAAGAAGACAGGTATTTAAACTCCCGCCCACAGAGTTTTAACTGGTTTACATTTCTATAAAATCTGCTTGAGCAACCCAACATACGAATGGTGAGTAGTAGTGTTTTTAATAATTAACCTAATAGGTGAAAAAAATAAATGTAATCTTAATTTGCAATTACCAATAAGATGATATTTTTTCACATATTTAATGACACATTTATTTCTTCTTTAGTAAAATACCCACATTTGTCCTTAGCTTATTTTTGAGTGTTGGCAGTTTATTAATTTGTTAAAAATATTTATATTGAGAGAATCAACCCTTTATATTAAAGAGAAGATATGTTGCAAATGTATTTTCCCATTTTGTTGTTTATGGTGTGTTTTTGCCATAAAGTTTTATTTTGTTGCCAAATCTGTTGGTCTCCTTTTTGGTTTCAGACTTGGTGTCATGTTTGAAAGGTTGTTTTCATCCTTAAGATTGTATAAATACTTATATTTTCTTCTAGTATTTGAAAGTTTTAAAAATATTTTAAGTATTTAAACATTTTATCTGGCAGTTATGTTTTGCATATGTTATGAGATAGATATCTAACCTTTATTCTTTTTAAGTAGATAAAAGTTCTCCTGGCATCACTTCTTGAATAGCCATCCCTCTGGAGAGTCATTATTTCCCCTTTATTTGCCAAAATGTTATTAGACCTTTTATAACCTTTTTGTTAAAAGTCTTGCTTGCTAATTAAGACAGGTGAAGGCTTAAAATATTAGGATAAGGAACATTTTCTAACTTAGCAGGTTTACTTCTTGAGTAATAAAAATAGCTAACTTGTGTTGAACACTTTAAATTACCATACTATAAATTTTCTTGGATTATCTCATGCAGTCTTAACCCCAAAACTTACGAGTTTGATACTATTCTTGCCCCCATTGTACAGATAAGAAAAATTAAGGAAAAGTACAGCTAAACTGCTTCATATTATATAACTGTTATGTTTCAGTCATAATTGAAACCCAGATTTATCTTAATTCGGAGCCATAATCTTAACTACTGTATACTATCCTGTTTTACAGAATACTTGTCAAAAGAGAATTTCAGATTAGCTCCTCATCTCCTACCAATAAAATTTAAGTACATGCCCAAATTGCCTTCTAGTCACACAAAATAAAATTGAAAAGGGGAAAAAATAACTCAGTGCTTCTGTCCCTGATCATACTCGCCCATTGCAGAGAAGACTACATGAGATCACTGAAAGTTAGCTAAATTTATTTGAGGAAAATTATTTCTAAATATGATTAGGTCCTAAAAAAGTTCCACTGCCCTTCTGGTGATTCACTGAAATTATTTTATTTCAAAAACATGCTTTTTATGTTCTTATACCAGTTGTCACCTTTTCTGTTCCTTGCTGCTATTCTCCTTCCTTCTGCCTATTTTCAGATGTTTTGTGAAATTCTAACTAGAAAGAAAAAGAATATAATTAATTGACACTATTCCCTCCTCACTATACTCAGGGATGTAACTCTCCTCTGTGATAATCTTTAGACTTCATACTCTTGAGTCAAAAATACCAAGTCTGGGATACTGGATTGCCAGTACTTCTGATTTCCATCATTATGGTTTCTGACAGAAAAATAAACAGTATAAAAAATTAATAGGGCCATTCTCGTCTTATTTAGGTGTTACAATATAGGTTTTGTCAAGAAATAAAAGTTCAAACCATAAAGGATTAAACCAAAGTATCACAAAACCTGAGAGTGATTTCCCCTCCACCTTCCAAGTAGTAAATACTAGCCATTTATAGATTAAAGATAATTTATAAAGTACTTATCACTAACTGAAACTAAATTTTGAGGCTGGAAAATGGTAACAGACTCAAAGTTGATCAATGTCCTTTAAAATGAGAATGCAGTAGATTCTCTTATCAGATGATATGAATAAACAACAATAATGTTGCTTTCTTCAGTGACAGACATATCTACATATTTTTTAGGGCTCACTCAAGAGTTAAGGGGAATGTAAATCCTATAAAATATTAGTATTAAAAAATGGTTAGTTCAGAGAGGACACATTCAGAGATTTTGACCATCAGAAATTTAATAACCGTATTCAAATATTTGAAAAACATTTTAAATTATTTTGAAATGTTTGCATATTCCATAGAGTTACCACAGTGGAATAGATTTGAATTAAGCCTAAATCTACTGATTTAGGTGTAATAAGGTTGTAAATAATTGGATTTCACTAGTTATTAGTGTGATGGTCTATTAAAGATTTAGAATGTCTATTTGTAGAAATATGTAAAAGTAGGAGTAATACCTAACTCACTTGACTGATTAAGCTTAATTCCCTTATTTGAGGCCATTTTGTTTATTTCTCAGGTACTTTTATAACATAAAGTAAATACCTTGTCTTCTCTCTGGACATAATAGATCCACATAAGTAAACAGATGGTCTGTAAATACCCAAGAAAGAAAAACTAAAAAAGAGAGTTAACTATGTAACACTGTAAAATGTGATTCTCTACTGTACTTAGCTGAAACAAGTTTAAGGGCTTATTGTAGAATTCTAAACCTAAATAAATGAAAAAACTTTTCTGTTCTGGCTTTCAATAAAAAATAAGGCCAAACTATGTCTATATTTTTCTTTTATTTAGTAAATGTAGAAAATCTCTAAATTGAAGAATCAGTAGGAAACACATAAACCTGTGCTTGATTATTTCCATTACTAAAATGAGCTGCAGACCAAGAACCAAGTAGGAATCTTAAGTGTTTTGGCTTATCATTATCCGTGGGTTTCTAGAGATTCTTGGGCATAATACTGCTTACTAGTCCGTTGCTATTCCAGTATACCAGAACCCTCTGTGGCCTATATGAACTGACAGTAAGAGTCGCGGTTAGTCATATTTCTGTCTTATCGCAGACCCTTATCTTTTTAAGCCAGAAGGGATACTTTCATCTACAGATCGATTTCCATTGAGTAGTGATCCAAAGACTATCAGTACTCCCTTAAATATTCTACTAATCCTTAAGAATGGAGATGGAGGAGAAAAAACATCACAGGACGCTAAGACACCTGGAACACTGTCTTCCAAAGTGCAAGACCACCCCTATTTGAGTGACTAACACAGGAGTGCAGGAATGGAAAAATGGGTATTTGACTCTTGTCTGTTACAGCCCATCTCTTTTCTCTTGCCCCTTTAAGGACGATGCCTTGGTACATTTTAACTTGTTTTTATTCTGCCCACTCCTCTCTACATTAATGCTCTGATTTTTTTATATTTTGATAAGAGACAAAATAATTAACAAAAGGATAAGATCCTAATTTATTGAAAAATTGTCTGGTTTGTATCCTTTCCTTATCTTCTGATTATCTCACTCCTGCTTAAATCAACAAGCACATCTCCATTCTTTCTCTTAGCTCATTATCTTCCTTGTTATAAGCTGTTATCATGTTCCATAGAGTTTGCATGCATAGTTTATTTGTGAAGGAAATGATGGGTTCCAGCAAGAAGAGCACAGTACAATAAGCCTAACCCTAACCCTTTGAAGAATCAGACCTAAGTCACAACATTCTAGCTGTGAGCCACACGAAGCAAGGCATGTATTTGTAAAGTGGAAAAGCTCTATGCAAATACATGGTACCACTATCAGTAGTAGCAGTATAATTACCAAGTAATTCCTTTGTGCTTAGAGAATACAACTAACGCATAGAAATATGATGGGATATAATTCCTGTTTAAAAAAAACATACTATTGTTTCAACATCAGTTGGAGTTACTAAAACACCAAGTTCAGAACTGACCTGCTTTATCTAATATTTATAGACATATGGTAACAGTACATATGATACACGTTTAAGTCAGATCTTTTTTTAATCACAAAAGTCAATTCCAGGGTGTACAAAGAACTGACTTATTAAAAAATAGGACAGTAAATGGTGAGATAAATATTTTTATATAATTTCAAGGATGTGCTGCAGAAAGTCTTTTCAACTACTTTTATTCCCATTATCTTTTCTACTTCATTTGCCGTATGGAAAAAGAGATACCTCTGAATTTCATAAAATGCCAAGACTATAATAAGGAATAAATTTACTAAATTCACAAATTCATATGATTGTTTAAAATCAAATCTTTGTGGTTTTTTTTAGACTATATTTTCAGAATTTATCACTATTGAAATGTTATTTCATGGCAAAGCTTTAGAGGTCTATACTGCTGCCTACCAAAACATACAAAAGATTGATGAAGAAGAAGATTTGGAGGTAGGACTATATCTATCTAAGTTAAGTTCTTATAAAGATGGAAATATTTAAAAGAAAGCATTCATTTGTGTGGGTAAAAAGATCTTAAGTTTGAACACTACAATTGTTTATGTTACTGTGTGCAGTCCCAAGTAGCTCAACTTTTATGATTTTCTAAGTATGTATTTTTAACTTAACAAATTAACCATGGTAAAATTCCAAGAGTTAATTTATTAACAGTTCATAAAGCCATTATGTGAAATAATGTATCATTTTGACTGGTGATGTAAGTCACTTAAGTGTGCTAACCATCACTTTGATTAGTGCTACATTTGATTGCTTATGTTATGCAGAATACCCAAAGCTTCACATGCATTTTCTCATTCACTCCTCTCAGAATCCTATGAAGTAGTCGCTGTTGTTATTCACATTTTACAACTACACAATCAGGTTTAGAGGCTTTACGTAACTTAATTGACAAGGCCACTTAGCTAGTAAACAGCAGAATCAGGATTCTAACGAGTTTTGTGTGATTTAATCAGCAGGTTATGAAGTAAGTGTACGTTTATAAGGCTTGCTGTATTGATGGTTAAATGCAAATGCAAGTGGCCAACTAATGTTAGAGCATCTAAATATCAAAGCCTGGCTTCAAAAGCACATCTAAAGAGTAACTGTCCTACCCTCTTACCTTCTAAAAGAGAGGAATAAAGAGACAAAAGAAACAGATAAAATATTAGAGATATACTTTGTCCATATTATCTCCATAGAAGTGAAAAAGACCAGATAGTCTCAAGGTATAACAAGAATTCTCTATTAATAAGTGATGGAATTTGAGAGTATCTGCCATTTGACAATTTCAAAGATTCCCTCAATTGCTTATTATTATTATTATTACTTAATAAAAAATAATTATCCATAGAGTTCACCTGGGCCTTCTCTTCCTACTGCTCCCCTTGTTCCAGGAAATTTAATTCAGTAAAATCAAATTACAGTTTGACTAAAATGAAGAAGGATACATGTTTTAATATGTGTATATATGTTTTCCAGTGTCAAAATCTCATCTTACAGTTTTGTATCAGTTGTGCACACATGATCATATTTCTATTTATTGTTTATCAATAGATGGCTTCCTGAGTGTCCATTCCTTCCAAATACTAAAGCTTAGGTTTCTCAACTTTAACTCCTTTCATGTCCTTTTATAAAACAGATCAAGCTTTTACCTGTCATTTCTAAAATAATAAAATAGCAAATGTTTATATAGTTATTACTTTGGATCGCTGCTGATCTATGCATTTTAATTATCTTCCCATCAACTTTGATAAAAGTAATTATTGTCCTCATTTCTATGGAAGAGGAAACTGAGGCAGAATTGGATTAAGAAATTTCCAGAAGATCCCATAATAATATGGCTGGAAGCCAAAACCAGAAGTCCTGGCCACAGACAGTTTTTATTCTCTCTATACTGTGATAGGTGTGGTTCTTGAAGAGTGTGACAGTCACCATTCCCTACAACAAATACACACACTGACAGGTTCAAACTGATCCCCTACTTTTCCTAGAAGACTGGAGTCCTTTTTAGAAATATCATTCTCCTTTTTCTAATGCCATGACATGCCATTTGTTAACTCTCACTAAAGTTCCTTCAATCCCTTTGGACCCCAAGATTTTCTTTCGCATTCCAGAGGTCCTAGCTAGGTTTTTTGTCACACCACTTCTCTTACTACTATTCTTAACCAGCTGGTTAAGAAATAGCTGATGGGAGGAGAGATTCTTAAAAAAAAAGAAAACTAAAGATCTCAGGGCTGTGTGGTAGATACATTTTTGAGTACCAACTTCCCTACTTTCCAGTGAGGTAATACTGAATAAGTTCTTCATTCTTCAGCTTCCTTATCTCTAAAATGGAGATACAGTATTTACCTCATAAAATGTTCATTCAACAACTGTTTATTGAGCACCTATTACATGCCAGCCATCACTCTGAGGACATAGTATTATAAGAGTAGGTCTGAGTTATAAAAGCAAAAAATTTTAAATCTACCATAGAGTTCAGACATTTAAAAAATATACAGGCATACCTCAGAGATAATACAACATTCCAGACCTATGCAACAAAAGGAATATCACAATAAAGCAAGTCAAATGAATTTTTAGGTTTGCCAGTACACATAAAACTTATGTTTACGCTATACTATATTTTTTAAGTCTTTTATTTTAATTCCAGTACAGTTAAAATACAGTGTTATATACTATAGTCCATTAAGTGTGCAACAGCATTAGATCTAAAAAACAAAAAGGTGTACATATCTTAATTTAAAAATACGTTATTGCTAAAAATTGCTAACCATCACCCAAGCTTTCAATGAGTCATAATCATTGATCACAGGTCACCATAAGACATCTAATAATAATGAAAAAGTTTAAAATATTGTTAATAATTACCAAATGTGACACAGAGACACAAAGTGAGCAAACGCTGTTGGAAAAATGGCACTGATAGACTTGCTTGAAGCAGGGTTGCCACAACCCTTAATCTGTAAAAGAAACAGAGTCTCTGTGAAGCATAATGAAGTAAAGGGCAGTAAAATGAGGTATGCCTGTACTGTGTGACTATTTAAGTTTTGTAATGTGACCAGTCCCACAAAGAAAAAATAGTGTGCTATAAATATATGTAATGGAGGATTCTAAATAGTTTGGAGAATCAAAGAATGATTTCTTAATTAGAAGTCTGAGGGATGCATAGGAGGATGCCTGGCAAAACCTTTAGGGCAAAGGATACAGATAGCTAGCTACACAAAGGTCCTGAGGCATAATGAACTATAGGCAGAAGCTGTTAGTGTTCTGCCATACAGCGATTGTGGAGAGAAGCAAGCAGGCTAAGGAGAGTTGTGGAACCAGGGAAAGTAAAATTCTATCAAACTGATACCAAGAAGAAAAAGATCTTTTACATACAGGATTTCTTGGGAACAAGTAGAGAAAATATGTAGAGAGGGACAGAGAAATAACTTGCTATTCTTAAGGACTTCATACTTTTATAAGGACTACTGAGACTTATGGCAACAGCTAATTTTTTTGCAGTTAGGCATCTAGTTATATCAGAAACCATCTTACCTTACTTGTTCTTCACATATAAAAGCATTGTCAGGCTCATTTTCCCCTTCACAAGATCACCTCTGTGCAATCACTTCAGAGCATCTTGAGATTCACTCCTAGAAGAGATCTTGGACCATATTGGGAAACGCATTATTGCCGATAAACATTCCTGTAAATCTACTGTTTTGCATTAAGAGATTAATTTTAACACGTAGCTGGTTTAGACTTTAACTCATGGGTGTATATGGTCTTCCATTTCCTACTTTTAACTTCATCTTTGCTAGAACAGTTAAAAAAGGAATGTTGTTCTAACAAAAATACTCCCTTCCAAATACCAGTTGATTAATGAGTCATTCAGTTTTTATATCATACCAGGATACACATTCCTGTAACCTGGCATCAAAACATAACTGGCATCAAAACATAATTGGATCCTCAGTAACATGTTAAATAACCTAATTAGCATGCCTGAATTGTCCTAAAACATGTCTCACCTCCTAAGTTTAAGTTTCACCTCTTCATTCCTTTTGTGTCTTGTACTTCTCTAAGGCTTAAAGAAATATAGAGACATCCCTTAGTTCTGAGTCTTTTTTTTCCCCAAAACATGGGAATGTCTTGCTAACATTCACTTATAATGTTATAATCTTAAGCTGGGAGGAGTTGCAAAGATAAAACAAGGTTCCGTGCACTAGTATTGGAAATAGATATATAATTACAGAACAATGAAATGATAGCTGTATTGAGGTATAAACTGTAGGCACTACTGACTAGAGAATACAAGAAAGCAGATGGCAGCATTTGACTTGGCTCTTGAATGTTGAGTGTACTGGAATTCCAGGCTGAGGAATCAGCATTGCAAAGTCAGAGTATAACGTATTCAGCATATTGGTAAATAGGCCAGAAGTGAAGAATGATGGGTAAGTTTGAGTGATGTTAAGCCTTGGGTGTCACTATTTGGACTCTAGGTAATGAAGAGCCACAAAGCTTTTTAATAATTATACTTTGGTCTTCCATAAGATAATTCTAAGTAAACTATAAAGAAAGATGTGCAGAGTCAATAAGTTAAAATAGAAGTACCTCAGATGAGAAGAAATTTAGGTAGAATGCCCAGGATTATAGTCTGGTCTACTAAATGTATGATAACATGTGTCATTGTAAAGGTGAATGTAGAACTACACTGTCCAACACAGTAGCCCCTAGGCTCAAGGTATGTGGCTCAAAGTAAAAGTTCAGTTCCTCATTCACATGAACCACACTTCAAGGGCTTAGTAGCCACATGTCACCCTTTTAGACAGCAAGCATTTCAATCATCATCTCAGAAAGTTATACAAAACAGTTGGTCTGGGAGAACAGACGGTAGGTAGTCACGTTAAGTATGGCTACCAAGAGAGCCACAGAGAACTGGTTGAAAGGAAGCAATCAAACACTATATAGATAAGATCTTCAGAGAAAAGGGTTTAAAAAAAGTGGCCTAAAGAAAATCTTTAAAAATATTTAAGGTATAGGCATTAAAAAAGGAGATGTGAATAGGCAGCCAGCAGATGAAAAGAGTTTAGAGATGGCATGTGTGGAAAAGAAGTTTCAGTAACAAGGTCAGTGAAGATCAAAGAGGACTTTGGTGATTTTTGGAAGAGCAATTTCAGTGGAAAGTGAAAGCCCACTTTGTAGTTTTTTGACAAATGGAGATGAAGTAAAATATTTGAGAAGTCTTTAAAGGAGTAAAATTACATCTTGAATTAAAAAAAAAAATTGATCTTGAGCCTGTCTGCTGAGGGGAAGGAAACTGTGGAGAAAGGCGGCTTTTCTTTTTTCAAGTTTTAGATATAGGAAATATGCACCTTGGAAAGACTCAGATGACAATAAAAAAGGGGAGTCAGGTATTGAGGAAAAAGGGAGTGAAGTTGAAGAAATTCACATCTGACAACCTTATTAGTCTATATATTAGAGAAATGGGGGAAGACAAAAAAATATAGATAGGCTTAAGAAGGTTGCATTTGGAACTGTTGCTTAATTTAAGGATAAAAAACTGACAAAGGTGTTCCAGATTCTATTGAGATTGTAATCCATGAATCAGAGTGGCTCCAACTTACTCTGATATGATATACTATCAGAGTACTGCAATGAAGTTAAATTGAGTTGAGACAGGCAGAAGACAAAGAACCAGAGGAATGACTTGCAGCCTCCCTACTGGGGAGCATCCTCTTTGAGGGTAGGACCTTTTACATTTTCTCAGCAAAAGCTCTCAAGTGATGGTTTCAGGACCCATCATCATCTTAACTTGGTTCAAATAAGCTTTATAGCTTTCATCTTTAAAACTTTATTTTTTTGTATTTGGCTTTGTGGGTTTTTTTAAATTTATAATAATAGATATTTTCTCCTGGGAGGTGGAGGTGAGCAGGTGGATGTGGCTGCTTTAAAAAACAAAAAACTTAAGGGGCGCCTGGGTGGCTTAGTCGGTTAAGCGTCCAACTTTCGCTTAGGTCATGATCTCGCGGTTTGTGGGTTCGAGCCCCGCGTCAGGCTCTGTGCTGACTGCCAGCTCAGAGCCTGGAGCCTGTTTCAGTCTGTGACTCCCTCTCTCTCTGACCCTCCCCTGCTCACGCTGTCTCTCTCTCTCCTAGAAATAAAACATTAAAAAAAATTTTAAAAATAAATAAATAAAAAACAAAAAAGTTAGGATTCCTAGAATTCCACTGTTTGGTATCTATTTTATAATGTTGCTTTATCATTGCAACAGGTTTTTCGGAATTCTCTATATCCACCAGATTATTCATCCCGCTTAGATATTGTAAGAGCAAATTCAAAGTCGCCTCTTCAAAGGTCACTGTCAGCTAAGTGTGTATCTGGAACAGGTCAGGTAAGCTAAAAATCACAAATCAAAGAAATATGAGCAGCTGCCTTTGGTGCTGTTCAATACATTTTTAGTTTCCCTTATGTCCTGGCTTCATGTAACTTACCCTTTTACCCTCTTAACATAAAATGATTGGAAGATCATTAATTCCAGCTCTGTTATTTCTTACTTTGTGTACTATAGCACATAATACTCTCTAAAGCAGAACACTTGAGAGCAGAGGTGGAAAGGACAGGAGAATGCTAATCTAGATTTGAATATGAAGAGCACAGGTTAGGGTTTAAATACCACTATCATGACTTAGTAAAAATTATACCTTAAAAAATCTTTTTGCTGAACATTATCTTAGATCTGGAAGCACATTGTCTCTAGGTAAAAAGTCAATTTTCTCATTTCTTCTATGTCAGAAAGCCTGAGTTATCTGATATCTAGAACTGGGAGGGTGAACAGCCTTTTTCTTTAAGAGACCAGAAAGAAAATGGACCCAAGGTCTATGTCCCAAATAAGGGCAGCCATAAACAATACATTAACATGTCTATATGGCAGTGTTATAATAAAACCTTATTAACAAAAACCGGAGGCAAAATGGGGTATAGCTTGGCAACTTCTGATCTCTACGGATCTATACCTTTTTTCATATCTAGCCTTCAGAATTTAAAGTTGAGCAAAATAGGGGCACCTGGGTGGCTCAGTTAAGCATCCAACTTCAGCTCAGGTCATGATCTCAGTTTGTGAGTTGGAGCTCCGCATCAGGCTCGCTGCTGTCAGCAAAGCCTACTTCAGATCCTGTCTCCCTCTCTCTGCCCTTCCCCACCCCCTCACTCTATTATTAATATTAAATAAAATTGAGCAAAATATTTTCAAAACACAACTTGTATGTAAATGTGATCCAGTGCCTTCTATTTTCATTTGGTTCTCCTCTAAGCATTTATTTACTGCTTTATATGTATAGGTCTCTCTCCCTCAAGCAACTTACATTTTATTTATCAGCATAAAGTGCCTTGCACATAAATTTCATATATCCAGCATGTATATCATATAGTTCATACAAAGTTTGTTTCTATTTAGAGCTAATAATGTTACCAAAATTAGCTAACATCTGTGTCATACTTTAAATTACATTATCCTAGTGTTTCTTGACCTTCACACTGTTGACTTTGAGTCAGATAATTTAGCAAGGGAATGGGGAGTACTGTCCTGTGCATTCCAAAGATGTTCAGCATCACTAGCCTCTACCCACAAGATGCCAGTAACACACACAAGCACAAACCCCCAGATGTAAAAACATTATCTCCAGACATTACCAAATAGGCCTCAGAAAGGTCTGAAGCAAGGACTTCCCAAGTGGCATCAGTCAGGACCTAAAACCAAGTAATGAATTCAGACTCACTCCATTTAAATGACAGTACTAAATTTTAATATTTCAGCTGCCTAGTTGAAATATTCCTGGCACATTTTTTGCTGTCCCTTTGATGATTCCCATTCAAATGCCCATTTTTGTGACCTATGAATTATTTAACCTATTTTCAATATCCATAGTCTGAGTATGTACTTTTCTCTGAAGTAATGGTAACCAACTAGAATTGAATTGTTAATTTCATATTTTTGTTCAAAAATAACCAGATAAATGAATGAAAAAGCCATGTGACTGTTTTCAACCTTAAAATATAGTAATTCATAGGGAATTTTCATTACTAAAAAATTATCTTCCTGAAACATATGTTCGATGTGACCTTCTCTAAAAGGGCATATTAAAAAGATACCAAATATGTAAAAATATATTAAGTTAATATTTTTTAAATGTGTTAACTGTTAACAGGTATCCACCTGCCGACTAAGAAAGGATCAACAAGCAGATGATGATGAAGAGGATGAAGACTTAGATGTCACAGAAGAAGAAAATTAATTTTCTTAAGAAAACTTCACATTTCAGTTTTCACCTTGAATGACTTGGAATCCAGAGTTACTATACTGTAAAACTTTATACTGGCTTCATACTCGTTAAACCTCAAAATGAAATCCTCCTGTAAATGAAAATTAAAGGAAATTTATGCTGACCAAAAATGAAGGTTTTAAAAAATATTACATACCAGTCATTTCAACATCCTATCTAGCAGTATGTGACTTTTGTATAGGTGCCATTAAAAAAAATTATGTATTTCAAATGTATTTCATATTAATGCACTATACCTAGTTGAGGTTGCAATAGAAGTAGATGACAAAAAACAAAAGATCTAACGATTCCACTTGCTTTCTTTGCTTTCATTGCCAAAAAAGGGTCTTTAGTCATTCGGATTAAATACAAATTCTATTCCATAAAGCCTTAATCAGAAGGACAAAGGTTTTTCTCCTTTAATTTTTTTTTCACTTTTACTACAAACTGGAGTTTCATTATTTGATCCATAATTTACTTCTCAACAAGAGTGTCATTACTTTTTATTAAATGTAATGGGACACTAGGATATCAGTGTCTTAAAACTACATAAAGCATAAATTTTAGATTCAAAAAGAAAGCCACATTCAGCCTGATTCTGGTTTTAAAAATGCTGTCATAACACAGTACTATAGCTTTTGGAAAGCTGTAATTTGGTGGAATGTTGCCTAAGAAACATCATGGAAAACTATTAATCATTTAAAAGTCTATAAAAATTGTACCAAGCCACCATGTAATTAATGGAAGAGTATACAGTTACTTATATTCCTGAAAATAATCAATTTAATCAGAACCTTTCAGTATGTCCAATACTTTTGTTTCTTTGGATGGGGACTGTACTTTTTTTATTTCATGGATACCAGTCAGGCATATAAAAATTATGAAATTTGGGGCGCCTGGGTGGCTTAGTCGGTTAAGCGTCCGACTTTCGCTTAGGTCATGATCTCGCGGTTCGTGGGTTCGAGCCCCGCGTCAGGCTCTGTGTTGACTGCCAGCTCAGAGCCTGGAGCCTGTTTCAGTCTGTGACTCCCTCTCTCTCTGACCCTCCCCTGCTCACGCTGTCTCTCTCTCTCTCCTAGAAATAAGTAAAAAAAAAAAAAACAAACAAACAAACAAAAAAAAATTATGAAATTTATAAAGTCATTTGGGATAACCGCAAGAGGCAACTATTCATAACAAAAATAAAGACTTTCTAGAAAGCTTTTTTGACTTTGTTATTCATGATTCTGTTAACAAAACACTGCTTCCTGAGAATAGTCCTAAACGATAAAATTACTTCAGTATAAAACAGTCAAAATGTTCTAAAACCCTAAATGAATTAAGACACTAACAGTATCATTGCACTGCATTTTTATTTTCTAAATATTTAAACATGGTGTTGTAGTTGGGAGGAAAAACCAGGGTTCTGGTATTTATCTAGTCTACTATAGCAGCTCACTTCTCTTCACATCACTTGCCTATCTAAAGTTAAAACAGTGCCTGATAGACAAAGCAATCAACAAATAGTTCTGATATAAAATGTATGCTCTGCCTACTTCAGAGAAACCTTCTAAAGACAAAAGGATTACTATACATAATACAGCAATGTAAAATTTTCTTTTAGACCAAACTTAGGTTGGCAAACTAATTCCACTTAGGTGGAATTGTTTTGATAGATACATTATTAACATGGTAAATATATTTATGGTTTCGTTGATACTTTGTTTTCTCTAGCTGACTTTATTGTAAGAGTACAGTATATAATACATATACGAAATATGTGTTGATCAACTGTTATTGGTAAGGCTTTGGACCAACAAGAGGTTACTTATAAGCAGGAGGCTATTAAGGTTTAGGGGAATCAAAAGTTGTATGAATTTAAACTGTGCAGGGGTCAGCACTCCTGACCCTGGCATAGTTCAAGTGTCAACTGTTTCAGCCACTTTTGATTTTTCACTATTCCAGATATATCAGGTACACTAGGAGCATACTGGTTCTCTAGTTTAATACCCAGCAGCATGTTAACTGTCTTAAAGCCAAACATTTTTATCATAAGGTATCTGAAAAATATAATTAACATCTAGAAAGTAAACCTCATCCCATAAACTGAGAGATAGTTAAGAATCATTAAGAGTGCATTTACTAAGAATATTGTGAACAGCAATAGCTGTTGGTCCATATATCACCTATTAAGCAGTGACCTCATCACCTATCAAAACAATTCCACCTAAAAGTGGACACTTGTGGTTCAAAACCTGGTTGTAAGTCAACCCCATTGACTGGTATATGAGATATGAGTGCAGTATTCTCTTTTATGTGTCTGAAATTGGTGTGCTGTTTAACTGGCTCTCCATCATGGAAAATGCCCTGATTTCTTGCATTTGCCAATTTAAATGGCCTAATTTAAATGGCCTACCATGTCCAATTTAAGTTAACATACTAATGAGAGCAGAGTTGGGAAAATGTGCAAATATGGTTCCCAATCAGTAGGAGGCAGTTTTCTATATTTTATTTTTAAAAGTTAAAAAATTTATTAAACTAAATGTTTAGGAAATAAATTAACTATATCAATTCACTAATTTTGCAATCATAATACCAAGCTTCCATTTACTATTGTTGACCTCTTGGCTACTACCACTATCACAACCCAGGCCATTTTGAGAAGCAGTTCCACATTACATATTTCACTTTTAGGCTTCATCTTGACTCTTATTGATCTGTATTTGGATGTGTTTTAAAGTCTATATATTCCTCAAGAAGACTGATCAAATTAACTATATAATTTTTGAGCATTTAAACAATAATCATTTCTTCCTATTTTGTTTTTTGTTCATTGTGTTTAGTTGGCACATTTATCATTGTAGCTATTTATAAGCTTACTGAAGAGCCATATTGATGTGTTTTTTTAAATCGAATTTACTAGTTTATTCATTCTACTAGCAAGTAGGATATTCACAATAATTAAAAACACAGAAACTTCACTTGGCTCCTCTTAAGCTTCTTAAATCACTGAAGATTAATCCAAAATAGTAGTAAATGGCTAAATACTGACAAAATATTCTACTTCTGCAAATTCTTATTATTAAATTACTATGCTACCATATATAAATTCAAATTATATTCTTATTTGCTCAATATTGGGAACCTCTGGATCACAGAATTGAGGAAAATTAACCTGGCTTTATGTAAACCATAAAAGGCCAACAAAATTCAAATCATATTTGACAAAATGAACAATTTTAAATTAGAAATCAATTTATAATATTATTATCCAAGAGAAGCCCTGGATACATAAAAACCTTTAAAATTATTTTGTCTTTTATGAACAATGAGCATACTAATTTGGGCTTTTTTTAATGCCACTTTTAAAGCAACAATGGAAGTAAAGAAAGTATCAGTTACCCTAAAGTATTTTTAGCACAATCTTACCAAAATTAAAAGTACCATTTAACAAAAGTTAGTAGGCAAAAGTGTTAAGAGCAGGAAATGGAGTCCAGGGTCTGTCTGGATTGAAACTGGCTCCATGACTTACTAGCTATGACTTCAGGCAAGTTACTTAACCTCTAAACTTCATTATCTCACTTGTGAAATAGATATAAATACTACACCATACTTCTTAAGGTAATACTTAAATTGAGATTATGCATGTAAAGCACTTTCACTGCCTAGCACACAGTAAGTGCCCAATAAATGTTAGCCATTATTATTATGGGTATAATAAAATCAAGCCAGTGTTTGTAAAACATCTATACTCAGTATCAAAGAAGTAAAAATTCAATCTCACAAAAATCTGATTATATTTAGTTACTGAGTCTTAGGATACAAAGTCTTAAAATTTAAAAATGAGAACCTGATAAAAAACAAGTTCAATGAACCATCATTACATTCTTCCCAAAACAAACTATATCCATTTATCAGATTCTTCCCAGCATAAGCCTAAATGTCCCCTTCTACCTACAATTACTTTTTATCTTTTAAGTATTTGGACTTAATCTTATCAGTTTGGTTGATGAGATATGGAAAACACCATAAAGGTACACATAGCACTCTAAGCTATTATTATAGGATATTTGGTCCGTCCTATCATAAACACTAAGGTAGCTGTTAAAAACTTCACAGAAGCAGCTGTAATTCTCTTTTCTTTTTGTACAAATACAAGTAAAGTTAATTAGTTGGTCTATTCAGTTGCAATTTTTTTATTTTTATAAAACTTTGCAAAGTTATGAACATGGAAACTTCAAGAATCTCCTAAGCTTTTTACACAAGTAAACTTCAAGTTCACAGTCTGTCCATTCTGAACTATTTATAGTTAACGGGAGGCTTAACACAGTAATATCTCAGACAAAGAAGAGGGCATTAATTCTGTAGGCAGTTAGCAATGCAAATGCTAAACCCGAACAATAGTCACTGACCATTTCCTTATACATTGTAAGTAAAAGATGTAGACTGGAAACAAAAGTGAATATAAAATTTATCTTCCCCAAATACAAGTCTACTTTATACAAGTCTTGAGGTTTACTCATGACATCAACAAAAACTAATGCACTCAGGGAATTTTCTCCCTAACTGTCCAAACAAAGGGGCATATATAATTTTAAATTAGAAAAAGGGAATGGCAATTTGCAAGCAAAAGAAAACCAGATTCACATTCTAATATTTACATCTGTTCTATGCACAAGTCAAAATTAAAATGTTTCCTTTCATTAGATCATTAAAAATAAACACTTAAAAAAAACAAATGCATTTTACTGCATCAATACTGTGGGGAGGTAACTGAATTTAGGAATGCTCTCTAGAGCAACATTAATTTAACTTTGCGTGGGCCAACTGGCCTATCATTTAGATCTTTAATAACAGCCATAGCTTCATTATAGTTTATCATAGCAACAATGGCTTCCCCTGTAGGTAATCCTTGCTCATTATACTGTATTGAAATGGAATCAGGTATGATTCTATAACCATGGAAAAAGTCTAGAATTTCATTAATATTAGCTTTAAATGGAAGATTCATTATCTTAATAGGTGTTACTCTACCTGAACTACAATTTAATTTTGGGTCAGGCATAAATCTCCCCTCAGGAAAACTTCCCATACTGCGCTTTCCAAAATCAAACTTGCCACCTTCTGGGCGACCAAAATTCACAAAAGGACGATGACTTCTAAAGTCATCAGGTGGGCTCCTAAACTCCTCACCAGGAGGTCTAAAACTGTCAGGAAGTCTAGGGTCCTCCTCTGGAGGTTCCCTGAGGTCTTCCTCCGGGAGCCGCCTGAAGTCCTCATCAGAAGGGCATCTAAAATCTTCTTCCTGGGGGCTCCTGAAGTCCTCATCAGGAGGATGCCTAAAGTCTTCATCAGGAGGACCTATGAAATCTTCATCCAGTGGGTGCCTGAAATCCTCCTCTCGGGAGCGCCTGAACTGCTCCTGGGGTGGCCGCCGGAAATGCTCCTGAGGCGGCCGGCGGAAGTGCTCGTGGGGTGGCCGGCGGAAGTGCTCCGGGGGCGGTCGCCTGAAATGCTCCGGGGGAGGCCGTCTGAAGTGCTCCGGGGGTGGCCGCCTGGGATGCTCCGGGGGTGGCCGCCTGAAGTGTTCGTGGGGCGGCCGCCTGAAATCTTCAGGAGAACGCCTGAAATCCTCCTCGGGAGAACGCCTGAAATCTTCCTCCAGAGGTCGCCTGAAATCTTCCTCCGGAGGTCGCCTGAAGTCCTCCTCGGGAAGTCGCCTTAAGTCCTCCTCGGGAAGTCGCCTAAAGTCCTCCTCAGGTGGTCGTCTCCACTCTCCTTGGGGAAGCCGCCTGAAGTCATCCTCAGGAGGCCGCCTCCAATCCTCCTCAAGAGGCCGCCTGAAGTCTCCCTCCGGGGGCCTCCTCCAGTCCTCCTCGGGGGGTCGCCTGAAGTCCTCCTTGGGAGGCCGCCTGAAATCCTCCTCGGGTGGCCGCCTCCAGTCCTCCTCTCTGGGGTACCTGAAGTCCTCTTCCAGAGGGTACCTGAAGTCCTCCTCCCAAGGGCGCCTGAAATCGTCCTCAGGAGGCCGCCTGAAGTGTTCCTCCCGAGGGCGCCTGAAGTCTTCTGGGGAGTGTCTGAAGTCCTCCGGGGAATGCCTAAAATCTTCTGGAAGGCTCCTTTCAAGCTGTCGGAAATCCCCCTGGGTTTGCTTGAAACTGTCCAGTTGTCTCAAGTCCACCTGCTGATGCCTAAAGTTTTCAGAAGGACCAACTGAGTATATTGGTGAATCACTTGAATCAAAAGAATGGGTATGGTCATCTCTATCATGTGACTGTGAATGATCTTGCATTCTCTCACTGGACATCAAGGAAAAATTTACACCAAACTCCCGCATTTGTGCCTCAGATATAAGTCTTAACAATACCTCTGTGCCCAGGAACCTCCTTCGGTTTAAACGTTCAGCTTTCATGGCCTGTTCTTCTGATTTGAATTTCACCAATGCTTCTCCCAGACCAACTCCTTTGTCATCATAAAGTAAATAAATGTCATCTTCTGCAAGAGAGAAGTCTGCAAAGAACTTCTGCACTTCAACTTTTGTAACATCAAAAGGAAAATTTCTTATATATATACACAGTTTCTGGCCAGGGTAGCCTTCTTGAGAGTATTTTTGTGAAATATGTCCAAGCCTCTCTTTCTCTATTGACACTGGTCTTTTCTTTTCATAACATTCAATGAACTTCAGCATTTGTTTTCTAGAAACAGGATCAATATGAACCGGACGATACTGTAAAACAGTCTTATGTAAACCCAGAGCAGTGTTATAGTCTTTCAGAGTTTTGAACATTACAAAGGCATATCTTGTTCTTCTTTCATCTTTATATAAAAACCTAATCTGTTCATTAGTCAGATCAGTATCTCTAAAGAAATTTCTTAAATCTCTTTTGTTAATACTTAGGGACAAGTTTTTTAAGTGCACATAAAATCCAAGAGGAGAACGAGAACGTGTTCTTCTGGGAGATTTTGAATGAGACTGTTTTCGAAAATGTCTATCATTAATTCCTCTTGGTGGAGAATGTTCTTCAGTTCTCATAGGAATATCAACCTCCTTAATTCCATTACCACCAAACTCAATCCACTGTTGTTCTGAGCCTTGCATTACTTCTATAAATCTTGAACCCATAAAACTTCTATGACATTTAAGACCTCCTGAAGCATCAATACATGAAGCAAATTTTACTATGGCATCACCATTATTTCGGCCATCGTGATGTTTTAAGAAAATTACGCCATCCACACACAAACCAGAGAAAAAGACACGTACATCATCTTCATTTACTAAGTAAGGCAAACCTCGCAGAAACAAGTAAGGATTCTCTGCCTTCAATGGCCTTGTTTTTCTTGGCCTTAAATCACCATGTCCTGTACCATTAGTATGAAACCCAGCATCTTGATTAATTGGAGAGCCATATCCAGAATTACTTGCTTCTTCTTTAATAGCCTCAACAAAGTTAGATAAGCTGCCAGCCCCTGATGCCCCAGATCCTGGTCGCTCTCTTCCTATGCGATCAGTTCTTTTCATTTCTATAGTCTTCTGCATTTCTGCCTTACTACTAAGAAAGAGCTCTACAGATGAATCCTTGATAAACCCTCCTGAACGACTTATGGCACGTCTTGCATCTTCATCTGTCGCAAAAATAATAAAAGCCTCCCCAACTTCCCCTCCAATTATATGCACTCCTCCATCAGGAATAGTCAATCCCGTGAAGAAGTGACGAATATCCACAGGCCCCGCAATAAAAGGAAGCCCCAGTAAACGGATGACTACAGCCATGCTGAGCTCAAACCACAGCAATAATGACCTGCAGACAAAAAGGTACACATAATAGCAAGTCTTATTTTTGAAGTACCTTACCCCAAACTAAACTTAATAATTATTTGGTTCCTACCTTCTGCAGCATTTATAAATGAAAACAGGGTGTGAGTTCACAAAAATATTGACAGTATCTAATTTCTTAGAAAAAGAATAAAACTTCTCCCATCTAAACAAATAAACCAACTACTTTGAAGAAATATTTCATATCACCTATCTTATATAGTATGAACATCAAAAATATCAAATCTTCTTTGTAAATCTGCCAAGCACTGCTTCACAACAAGACGAAAAACTATTTTCGCTCTTAGGAACAGATCTTCTGCTGAAACATGAGAGACAGCTTTGTGGATTAAAGAATTTTACCAACCACGATGAGTTTTACATATAAGAAAAGCCATCTATGGTCAGTATATAATTTCTGCTCATAACAATAAACTGTCTACCACTAGTGCATCACTGACCAAGGAAAGTACAGAAACCATGTGTACCTACATGTACTATTCTACTTTACATTTTTTTTTTTTTCTTTTTGGTCAAGCTTCCGTGAAAAGCCTTAAGCTCTGGATATCTTACCTTTTTAAAATTTCTTGGAGACCTGTTAATTCTGTAAAAGCAACTTAACTGTGGAAAGAAAATGAAATATAATTAATCTTTGGACCCTGTAATGATCCTTAAACACGCCTGATTAGGATATTCCCTTCAGAATTACCTATTAAAAGTGAAGCAATATAAGGAACCACAACTATGGACATTACAAAATGGTCTTCTTTGTTCCAAGGGAAAATTAATCATCCTTCAGCAAAAACAAAGTATAAATTCCAAGTAGACATCTGCAAATTATTTAAAAATAAAAAGCTTCTGGAAATTAAATAGCTCCTTGACTGGAAGTGGCAAGAGCAAAGGGGTAATGGAAATGTTAAACACTTTGATTAGTCTTGGTTATTTGGGAGTATAAACTTACCAAGACTAAATGAATACTATCCTTAAAGTCTATGCATTTTGCTGTATATAAATTTTACATCCACTTAAAAAAAAAAAAAAAAGACAACTATTCTACAAGTAAAAGGTCAATGTATACATATCAAACATTCCCAAAAAACCTTCTGTCGCTTCCACTCATGAGAAGCCCAAACACCTAGCTCATTATGTCCAACTCTCTTGCAATTTTCCTCTCTTTTAAAACATAAGACCAAATCAAACTAATCAGACAACCATTCAAAATGATACAACAAATGAACAAAATGCTAATGTTCTGAATTCAAAAACCAATTTTTAAAGTAATAAATTCAAACCAATGGCTACCAATTTGAATATAAATTTTAAGTTCTACACATACAGCTCACACTTCCAAACATGAAATTAAATTTCCTGATTCTAATATAATTAAGGCAAACACTAAAATAGCCCTAACATTAAAAAAATCTCAGCTACTAGTTCTTATCTTAAACTCCTAAAACAATTACTACTAAATTCACCCTAAGCCAAATAGAAAATGTTCAAGTAAGAATCTTATGCGAACAAGTTTATTCCATTTTAAACTGTTCTGCATTGAGAAAACCCCAATGACAATGTAGAAAATAAAAACAAATTTATTTAGAATGTTTAGGGATTATCAGCATTAACTGCTGAGAAATCTTAATTTAATATTTCCTTAAGGAAATTTATATCTAATATTTTCAGAGATACCCAAAGTTAAAATATTTAATGTAGTCTTATCAAATAAGTTAAGAGTTGCTAAATTAATAATTATACATTTCTGTTTTTAATGTGTAAAGAAATGTTGCTTTAATTCAGTACTTACACTTAAGTACTACACTTCCACAAAATGTGGTCAGAAGACATTAGTCTTTTACGTCTGTAAGGCTTATTTTCCTTTGGAAAGGGTCCACTGATCACTTTTTAAACTACAAGCTAACCTAACAAGATATCAAGAAATTACTAGGCATATTCTACATCTGAATTATCAATGCCAAATTGATACTGAAAATATTTACAAGGTACATGGGCAGGGGCAAGGAGTATGTGGGAAATCTCTGTATCTTCTGCTCAACACTGCTGTAAACCTAAAACAGAACCTGCCCTAAAAAAAAAAAAATGGCTTATTAAAAATCCACAATACCAAAAACCAGTACAAGCCTGGTTCCTTCAACAAACCAATATCCACACCAACATTTAAAAACTATAAGTGGCTTCTGGACTAGTCAACGTTAAAGTTCCAAGATTCCTTCCTATACAAATCAACTTAGCTCCTTTACTTTCAAAATTATTTTAGAAAGCAAGTAAGATTCATGCCATTTTGTCTCTCCCAAACTTTTTTAAAAACTTAAAAAGGGATCTACGCCAAAAACATAAATATATCTATAAGATACTTAGGGACGTATCAAGGAATAACATGTCAAATTCAAAAAATTTCTAATTTATCCTCAACTTAAAAACAGTATTTGAACTAAATAGTTCCAGGAGTACAAATCTCATGGATTCCAATTCAAGCAGACAAGATAAATATTTTTTCTAATTTGCCACATATAATTAACACTTTTTTTGCCTTCAGCTGGTAGGGCAATGTACCATTTTATCCCTCAACAATGACACACCTAGGAGACCATCTATTACAGACCAGTTCTCAATCTGAGCACTTTTCCTATGGTTCCCACAGGTCATTTCCTTAAGCAAATTCCCCAGAAATTCTACTCTTAGAACATTACACAAAAATCAAAACACCCAAAATACCCTAAAGCACACTGCACTTCGAATTGTTTCTACTTATGAATGTAACAGAAGTATTTTTGCGTCTGTTTTGATTTAAAGACAGTGATGTTAGAACTTCTAACCTATGAAAAGATGGAAGTGAGTCCTTAAAAGCTTGAAATTAGTAAGTTCATTTTAAACAATTTTGACTTTTATCCAGGATTCATCACACTTGATCACCATTACTAAACAATATGAAATGTGCATCTTCTAATCAAGCCTGATAGGGAAACGAGAAACTAAATTTAAATACGTATGATCTCAGATCCATTTGATTTTAACTAGAGAATAACAAGTCATTCTCCAGATAACGGTGGGGAAAAATGACTATTCTTTAAAAGCCAAAGTTATGATGAAATTCTAAATGCATGGGTTTCCTTTGCAGAAAATAATCTGGCCCAGTCCACAATTATTCTTTATGAAGGTCTGCCTTTTATCCTTTTGTAATGTAGATGGTTAAAATAAAAACCATAGGCTTGACGACACAGAGCCATAGTCCTTAATAGGAACTGTAAATGAAGACGAATCCACACGGCACAGGATTTCCCATAACATCCATCATCCTCAAATGGGGATCATCCGAAGGCATCGCTTCTATAGCCCAAAGCCTTTGTCCATACTCCCAGGGGTCAGAGCTTCCTTCTTTCGCGCCAGGCCAAAGTTGCTACGTGGGATCCGATGCTGTCGCCAGACCTTCAGCCAAAATCAGCCTTCAAATTAACCTGGACCGCCCAACCTCCGTGCCTTTCCGTTACGCCGTCCCAAGGGCAAACATTCCACCCTAACTCGCCACAGGGTGAACTGCCCCAAACCTAACTCAAACACTGGCCACTCTCATGCCTAACGAGCCGGGCCTTCAGCGCTTTTCTGCCACCACTGCCTACGATGACATAGCAAAGAAAAAAAATACCTATGAAATCCTTCGAGATCTTCACTCTCAGGAAAACTGGGAAGCGCACACACAACACCACATGGAGGCTGACGGGAGAGTCGGTGTTTAACAAGGAAGGAGGGTACCCTAACGGCAGAAGCTACGCTAGCTCCTGGCACGGCCGCCGGCCCCGCCTTTCCCTCTTCTTCCGTCCCCGTAGCCAACCCCTCCCCACCCCCGACGCCCCAAGGGTAACTGCTTCGCACTTGGCAGTAAACACACACCACTGCTGCCGAGTCGGACACACAGGGCCGGGGGTAGGGGTGCACTCCTCGTCACAGCAGCCTGCCCCGCACAGGTGAAGCCCTCAGTGAGCCTAGAAGAAGATGGCGCCCACTCGCCCCTCCGCTCCGGACAAACGGACGTACAGTTTGTCTGCCCATGCGCTCTCCAGGCGTAACCCACCGCCCCGGCGCCCCGGCCGCGTTTGCGCACGCGTCTTGTGCTCACCCGCTTCCCCTTGTCGGGGGAAGGGAGGCGGTGCCCACCAGCACAAGGGCCCCGCCTAGGGTTTGCAGAGCTTCTGCGCATGTGCAGATTCCAGCCAATCCGGGAGCCTCGACCAGAGAAAGGAGAGCCCTAGACAAAGTTCGAGGCCAACTCACTGCAGTAAGGAGAAGCTTCAATAAATAACTACTAAGGTACGTTGGAGAAACATTAGTGGTTTACAGGAATTAAGGAAGGAGATGCAAAAGCAGAGAACAGGATGGCGATTTCTATGTCGTTTCATCGCAGCAGTTATTGTGTGTTGTAAGAATCTTCTATAATGCTCTTCATAAACTTTCAAAGAGCACAGAAATGTTAGCTTTACTGCCTTAGATAATCAATACGCAGTGGGTTTAATAAATGCATGCCTATTCAATTTTATAGACACTAATAACTTTTTGAAGTGCCTTTTTACGTTTGTTGTTCCTACTTACTAGTTTTTTAAAACATGAGAACAGATAGAGCAATCTTGAAAAAATGGTAAGTGAAAAGCACAATTGCAGTGCTTCAGCTGGCTCTGGGATGCCAGCTGTGTAATATCTGGTGGACAGCCTTGTGTTTGATTTGATTTTATTATTTGCAAATAACTAAGTAGCCCACCAGTTTTATAAATACATGATGCATTTGTAGTTGGAGTCAAAGCTCACTAAGAAAACAGAAACTGTCTTTAAAGTGAAGATGAAACGGAGATGAAAAAATGAGTTTTCAATCCTTGTGATATGATTGTGAGAAAGAAGAGGTAGTCTACCAAGTGAATAAAAGGTGGTTCCTGGAATGAGAGCCACCATTTACTTGGCTTTTTATGCCTCAGTTTCCTCATCTGTAAAATGGGGATAAAGCAGTATCTACCCTATGAAGTTGCCGTAAATATTAAATTTTTAGCCTTGGGCAAGTTGTTTAGCCTCTCTATGCATCAGTTTCCTCATCTGTAAAATGGGGATAAAGCAGTATCTACCCCATGGGGTTGCCATAAATATTAAATGAATTAACATATATAAAACCTTAGACTAGGTAAATATTAGTAACTCGTTTCAAATGCCAAGGTTATCCATGCTATCCATGCTGAAGGAAGGCACTTTGGAAAGCTAGGCTCACTGAGTAGAAAGCATTTACCTTGATTATTCTCTATGGTCCTGGCTTTGGTCCTAGGGGAACCTGACCTCTAAAGCTAAAATATATTGAAGGCTTACTTTCTACGTGTCAAGCTCTGTGCAATATCTCATTGTATTTTTACAACTGCTTTCTGAAGTAGGTACTATTATGTTTCCCAAATTACAGGTAAGAGAAACTAATGCATAAAGGATTGTGTAGCTTTCTCAAAGCTACAGAGATAGTGCAAGGGAAATCCAGGAATTGAACCCTGGTCATTTCCTCCCAGAGACCACAGGAAGAGGATTCTGCCCTTTGAGGCAGACTCCCTTTAAACAAACACCGAAGCGGGGCGCCTGGGTGGCTTAGTCGGTTAAGCGTCCGACTTTTGCTTGGGTCATGATCTCGCGGTTCGTGGGTTCGAGCCCCGCATCGGGCTCTGTGCTGACTGCCAGCTCAGAGCCTGGAGCCTGTTTCAGTCTGTGACTCCCTCTCTCTCTGACCCTCCCCTGCTCACGCTGTCTCTCTCTCTCTCAAAGAAATAAAAAAATATTAAAAAAAAAATTTTAAACAAACACCGAACCAACGCTCTAGAATGTCAATATTGCCCATATTAATTCACAAAAAGAACACTACTAAAGTAAACCTGAGATCCACTCTGGCTGACCAGCACTTTTGCTGCCTGTATATGCTCTCTATATGAAGTCAAATACTCAAAAGAGTTGTTTGCTACACATGGAAATAGAACATGAAAAGGTACCTAATCTCAAAAAGTGGTTCTCAGTTAAAGGATACCTAGGAAGCATTCTCATCTATGTTAACAAAAATAACTGCTATCATTTAATGAGCATTTACTAAAGACTAATCTGAACAAGTATGCTTAGATCAAACTCCCTCTTTTGAACAGGCTTAAACAGCTATTGTCAGCCTCATTACTGTTTGGCGATAGCCATCCCCTTCTACTCGCACAGACTTTCCTCCACAAACAAGACACTATACCGTATGCCTATCTTTTCTAGTCTGTCTTCTGCCTTACTCAGATAACAATACCAATTACATTCAAACCCAGAAAATGCCCTTTGAGGTAACTGAGTTTAATTACGTGGTATCCTGGCTATAGAATAGTTTCTTGAGCCTTTAGTATGTCAACATGGAAATCTAATCATTTTAGAGTACAGAAAGAGAAGTAAGTTTCTGGAACAAAACAGTATCATAAGATATGGTAACCACACCAAGCCATGAGCATTCTGTGGCTCTGTCTGGGCAATTAGTCAGCCTCTCCCAGCTTTTTACTGTATCTACGTTACTCCCTAGTCTCCTGAATGATTTTGGTATCAGCTTTCAGCTGCCCTTCCTAGCTCTTCAACACCCACAAGAACAGTCTTCTCACTTGATCTCAAGAGTTCCTTGATCTTCTCAACTCTAAAAACCTTTATCCATCTTTCACACCTCGACTTCCATTCAATTCAGCTGGCATTTATTGAGCACAGGCTGTGTGTCAAGCACCTTGCCAAGGCTCCTGAAAGACAAGGTTGAACAACTCTGTCTCCTTTCCTTAGGAAGCTTATCCTATAGCAGAAGAGACAAGGCACATGCCATCACACACAGGAGCACGTGTTGAACATGGGGATTAAGATTGTGGGCTCCTTAAGTGTCCATCAACAGATGAATGGATCAAGAAGATGTGGTTTATCTATACAATGGAATACTACATGGCAATGAGAAAGAATGAAATCTGGCCATGTGTAGCAACAAGGATGGAACTTGAGGGTGTTATGCTAAGAAAAATAAGTCAGGCAGAGAAGGACAGCTACCATATGTTTGCACGTATAGGAGGATTAGGAGGAACTTAACGGAGGACCGTGGAGGAGAAGAAGGGGAGAACTGGAGGGGGAAGAGGGAGGGAGGCAAACCATGAGAGACTCTTGAATGTTGAGAACAAACTGAGGGCTGATGGGTATGGGGGAGAGGGGAAGGGGGGTGATGGGCGTGGAGGAGGGCACTTGTGGGTATGAGCACTGGGTGTTATATGGAAACCAACTTGACAATAAACTATTAAAAAAAAAAAAGACTGTGGGCTCTTGAATCAGGCAGATCCAAATTTAAGTCCCAACTCTGCCACTTGATGACTGTGAACAAATTCCTTATCCTTAGGCTTTTCCCTTGTAGACTGAAGATAACGGCATTCACCATTCAGGGCCATTTTTGAGGACTAAATGATATAGTGCTTATAAAATACTTAGCACAGTCCCTTAGCACAACAAACTCCAATATGACTTGGAAATCAAGAAGGCCTACTCAGAAATCAGAATACCATAGTTCCAAACCTAACTCTGCCACTTGGTAGCTGTATCACATTAGTCACTGAATCACTCTGCCTTAATTTCTTCAACTGTCAAATAAATGAAGGTGACAATAGGAATGTTGTGTATGTAAAACACTCATGCATATGCATAAACATGCATGCACACACATGTAAAGCACCAAGAAAAGCATATAACATGACATTTTACCTGTTGCTCTGGTGACCTGAATGCTCTTTTCCAATTTGTCCCCTCCATTGGTTGTCAGAGCCACACCTACAAAACCCCTAGGGATTGCTGTAGCTCCGTTTGGACACCACTGATTAAATGAAGGAGCTTGCTCAACTGTGTGTGACAGAGTAAATAGGAGCGTTATCTCCATGGTGGAAAGATGGAGGAGACTGAGATCCTGAATGTTAGTGATGTTATAGGTTAACAAAGGAGGCACACAAGAAAGGTGGTGGATAAAATCTCTGTGTTTTACAGCTGAAGCTTTGACCCCCAAATCTCAATTGTAGAACCCATTTCTAGTGAATAGGTAGGACCACACATGAAACATGATATCTCCTGCTTAGGCTTCGTTTCTCAGGGTTCCATCCAGTACTGGGTACATGAAACAAAAGAAAGAAGCAAGAAGACCCAATAAACTAAAGAGAATTTCCAAACACAGAATATAAGGAGAAAGTGAAAGAAGAAAAGAAAAGGCAGGGAAAGGAAAAAGGAAAGAAAGAGTCTACAAGACTTTGTGTTGGAAGAAGCAGTCTCCTTCATGCAGTCTTTCAGCCCCCACTCAGCTGCATAAGAATGGGCCTCGAGTCTGGAACACTTCCTTACCAGGAGTTAAAGAGCCCACACAGGCTAAACCTGACCTATAACCTTACGTGGGATAGGCCTTGTTTTGGGCTAAGTACTCTTGCTCTGCTTGAAGTATGTACATTATATGTCACTGGGTCAACCCACTGTTATCCTGTCTTGGAGAGAAGCCAGGCTGTTTCCACTGCAGCATGAGAGGGGTATGGCGCATAGGCCAATTGCCTTGTGTCAGTGGCCAGGAGAGACCCACTGACCATGTGGGACTGACACCACTATTGAAGCTGATCCTGCTCTGTCTCTTCTCTATGTAAATAAACTGTTGTCTGTGCAGTGTTTGACTGCATTGTATTTCCTCTAATGACTCCAAAACCAAGATGCAACGGGCAGAAACGTTTGGAGTCCTCCCTGAGACTGGTTACTGATGCATGGTACTTTGACACCAAGCAAAGTAGAAAAAAGATTTTGTGGACACAAAAAATTCTCTTAGACTATGGCTAGAGCCTACTCCAGGCTTAACCTTTGTTGGTCCTCTGCCTCCTTCCCAGGGATGAAATTAGAGGACACAGCATTGACATCCCCTTAGAGTTTGCAAGAGGACAATAAACTAGAGACTGAGGGAATGAAGCAAGTTTTAGTTTAACCTTTTCCATCGCAACAAATGTGTGTTAAATGACAACGCATCATGCACAACTCCAGGTCTAAGGAGACAGGGTGAGCAAATATGGACATGATCCTTGCTTTCATAACTCTTGTAGTCTAAGAGAGGGAAGGAAACCTAGTGAAAGAATTCTTCAACTAAATGAAAATTTACAATAGGGACAAGAGCTATAAAAGGAAATACATGACGCTGTGAGAGTATTTCATAGGAGGGGCTGGTCTGATCACAAAAGGTAGGAGGAGTTCCTTAAGGAAGTGACAGATGAGGGTGGCTCAGTTGGTTAAGTGTCCAACTCGATTTCAGCTCAGGTCTTGGTCTCACGGGTTCATAGGATTGAGCCCCACATGGGGCTCTGCACTGACAGCATGGAACCTGTTTGGGATTCTCTTTTTCTCTCTGCCTGCCCTCCCCGCCCCCTCCCCCAGCTAAAAAAATAAATAAATAAACTTAAAAAAAAAGTGACAGATGAGTTGGAAGGAAAGGAAGAGTTAACGAAGTAAATGGAAATTTACAAGGAGGGTTAGGAAAGAAGGGTAGTCCAGGCAGAGAGGTGCTCAGGTTTAGCATTCAGAGAATTGAAAGAAGACCAATGTGGGCAGAGTGCACAGGAGTACACAGGACAATGAAGAAGTCAGACCCTGCTGAGAGCTCCGGTTCATGCTCAAGATGTTGAGCTTCCCACTGGAAAAAACAATTATTGTAGCAGAGAGGTGACATATTAGACTTGCATTTCAAAGGTTACTCCAGCTGAGGTATGGAGAGTGGATTAGAGGGTGGCAAGAACATGTATGTGAGGACAGGTTAACAGGTTTTTCTTTTTACTTTCAGTATAAGGTGACAGTTTGAACACAGGTATTTACTTCCACTCTTTCCAGAATTCCTAATAAAATAACAGAAAAGGAACTTTTGGAAGAAGCAAAAACTGACGTGAATGAAAATAGTAGAGTAGAAGGCAACAGCAATAAAACTGTGAGCAGGAAAGAGATAGATAGGTGATGAATTCTTTTGTGAATCCAAGAGTGCTGAATCCTAAGTTGAAAGTGGGAAAGGCAAAAAGCAATCTGATATACACCAAACGAGTCCTCAAAGTCTTAGAAGTACTCAGTGTTTTCTGTTGGGGAAGAAGGTGAAAACAGTTGGTTGAACATTAATTTGTAAAACACTAAAGACACGCTCTTAAGACTCCTTTTTTCCAGAGCCGAGAAACCTGTCTCCCCCACTACAGCAGAAGATTGAAAGTTTATTCTCTGGAGAGAGTATGACTATGGGATAATGAGTATAGGTGAAATCAGGGGTTCTGTTATATGAAAGAATGGCAATATGTAAATGATGAAACTGAATGATGAAACTCACACCCTCCTTCCCTGGCAGCCAGGCTTGAATTCTCCAGAGAGAAGTTTCTTTCTGGGGAACCTGATCAGCACAGCAAGATAGAAGAAAGAAAAAATACTGACATGGGAGATGCCATAAGAAACAACCCAGGCAAATCACCCTACACATTGTAGACCAGTCAAGAAGCCCCACCTGTCTTTGTAGAGCTTCCTATTGGCTTTTCAGGGTGCCCCACTCTAATATGCAGACATTTCATAGATAAATATACATAGATATAAAATATATATACCTAAATATCAAAGGGTCACCAGGTTTATGAGTAAACCTTATTGGTTATTTAAATTATCCATGGTCCCAACTCCCCATGAATGGATAATTCTACAACTTTAATTTTTACCATTAATTTTTTTTATTCAGTAAGAAGCTTTTATCTGTCCCCAGATATTTATCTTCCTATAATGTCACATTCCACCTAGCTACCCAAATCAGAAACCAGGAGTGATCCTTGTTTTTGTTGCTTTTTTTTTTTTTTAATGTTTCATTTATTTCTGAGAGAGAGAGAGAGCGTGAGCAGGGGAAGGTCAGAGAGAGAGAGAGAGAGAGAGAATCTGAAACAGGCTCCTGGCTTTGAGCTGGCAGTCAGCAGGGCTTCAGCGAAGCTCTAACGCACAAATTGTGAGATCATGACCTGAGCCAAAGTCGGATGCTTAACCAACTGAGCCACCCAAGCACCCCTATCCTTGTTTTTGTTTCTTTACTTCCTCTGTCCAATTCATAACATTCTCATGATTCTTCCTCCTAAACAGCTCTTTCATTCATCCTTTCCTGCCTCTCCCTTCTTCCATAGCCCTAATTTTGTTATTGTAGTTAAGGCATGGTGAAGGAACTATCTTATTCTAGGGGTTCAAAAAGCATTTGCTATCCTCTTTGAACCCATCCTCTCATGTTTTTTGGTAGACTTCTTCATAAGCTGACATTAAACGATGTTCTGCTAGTCTCATCCACTTATATGGATAATTCTTTCACATTTTAGCTGGGTGACACTGGGTATGTCTTTAAGCTGATAAATGCCCTGCCTATTTATAGGGATGTTAAAAAGATTGAAATGATGCAGGTAAGAAGTTAGCATAAGACATGGCATTGCAAAAGCATTTGCTTTTTTCTTTTTCTTTTTCTTTTAAGAGACAGTGGAAATATATCTGGTTCAGCTTACTTTCTTTGTCTTGTCTTAAATCTGTTACAGGGCAAACACACTGCAACTAAAAGAGAAAAGCCAAGAAAACTGCAGAGATCTGACATCATTGGATGAACACCAGCGGCCACCTATGTCCAGACTTCTCCTGTTTTTGTTTAAGCCATTGTGAACTGGCTTAAACTACTTGATCTACTACTTGCAGCAAAAATATGCCGAATGATACAGTCCCAATTTATGCTTAACCGTTTTAGCTAACATTCTTTCTGCTATCCCTGTAAATAGTTTATACAGAAGAACCCATAGGATCTACAGTTATGTCAAACCTGTTTCTATTTGGAATCATTTCACTACTTTATTTAGCTTTTTGGAGCAGTTTTCAGGTACAGTGCCCAAAGGTCTTAGGCAATCATAGTTCCATATCTGTAGTATACAATGGCAGTATCGTGTTAACTAAAGGCAAGGTTCATCCTATATATAGAATATGCCAAAAGGTAACAGGTTGTGGAGTTGACTAGATGGAAATAAATTCTAGTTCCACCACTGTCTAAAATGTAACTTTCTTGATCCTCAGAAAGGGATACAGAAAGGGATAGTATTGCCTCAGAGGGTTGTTATGAAGAGTTAAGATTAATGCTGTCAAGAGCCTAGTAGAGTGCACAGTGTGGGACACACGAAAAGCCATCATGAATGGGAGTTCTTTTATTGCCTTAATTACATAGAAGGCAATGAATAAATGTTACTGCCCCAGTCCCTTCCACAGGGCATATAGTGGTATGCAGATTAAGGATGACTAGAATTAAAATTCACCCATACAAAGCTTTTGCAGCTTAATCTTGACTATTCTGACCATACCCTTTCTGAGTCATTAACATTTGTATAGTCACGTTTTTTTAAAAAATCTTATTCAGATAAGTGATTTCCACTACCAGTTAAACACTCCAACAATGCATAATTACTCAAAAACAATTTTGAGAATTCCTTTTTTAAGGAAGAGTTTTCAGAACATATTACTGTGTCTTGTGTCATAGATATTAGTGACTGAGTGAATGCTGGTCTTTTGGGGAAGGCCACATGAGAAATACTAAGACTGACGGTAGCTCTGGGTAAAATTATCTCACTTATCTAGATGTATTTTCCACATTCATTAAGAATTGTGTATGTGTGTGTTTTCCTTAATAGTGACAATTTTTATTACAAAAATTTTTTTTTTGAGAAAGCCAAAAGTTGTTTCAAGCTACTGCTGATTAATAAGGTGGCTAAAAATTATGCCAGGTTATTTTATTGGGGAAGTAGGGAGTGTGAGAACAAAATAAAACAAAATACAACAAAACCAGAAGTGAGATTTAAATGTTGAGAAATAAATTTTTATGATCTGTAAACTGGCTCTAAATGTAATTCAAAAATGTTTTAGTGCTAATAGTTTTCAAGGATGCCTGCTTTGAAAGGCAAGATTCATGTATGTTTAACTTTGGCTAAAAATTAATTTCCTTCTTTATTCATCAATGGGGTAAAGATGATCTAATTTTATATACGTGATTTCCTTTACCCAAAATAAGGAAAGTAGAAATACAAAAAGTCTGGCAGGAAAGATCTTTTTTTTTTTTTTTTGTGCTTAAGCCAATCTTCCAGCATTGCAGATTTCATATCAGTGGGTTTTTAATAGTTTTTTGACAAATGTATTTTGACAAATACACTGTTGGAATCTCTCCTTTAACGCGAAAATGGCCAGGTTTGGATAAATTCCAATGTAAACATCATTCAACAGCTTAATGAAACAATACTACTCTTAATTTTGTGCCATACTGTCAAATATAGTCTTTGCTGTGGTGTGCTATTTACCGACTTCCTAAATTGGCAACACTTCCCGGTAATGTGTCCCAGAGTTTTAAACACATTTTAAATACAGGGTTGTGCCTGCCAGCTCCAGGGTTAGCTTACCTCTAACCCACCCTTTCCCAGACCAGCTTCCCGCGGCTTTGCTCACCTAGCAACCAGGCAGACACTTCCGGAACCTCAGCGGAGTTGTCCAATCGGCTCTGCAGATTCGCCGCAGCGGCTGATGGGATGCGGGAGTCTGAGCGGCCGCCGCCGTCTGCACCATGGTGACGAGCGGCGGCAGGGCCAAGGTAGCCATGGCGGCTCGGTCCATCTTATCCGCCGCGGCTGTGAATATATTCCTCCTGTTGGTTCTCCCTCGAGTCTCACACGCCCAGATCTTCTCCTTTCCATTCCTGCAGCCGGAGTCGTGCGACCACAACCAGTACTTTGATATCTCCGCGCTGTCCTGTGTGCCGTGTGGAGCCAACCAGAGGCAGGATGCCCGAGGTGAGACCGTTCAGGGTAGGCCCCAGCCAGACTTTTAACCCTCCAGCCTAGTCGCTGCCCGCCGCCCCCCAGGGTCCCTGAAACACTTTGTCGTCTGCGGGAAGAAATGTTTCAGGAAAGTTAACTGCCAACTCCTGAGGGGTGGGTTTCCTTGGAGGCTTGCAGCTTGCACACAGATGAGGTTGGGGAACCGGAGTAAGCTATCCACTGAGCCATGGCCAGTAATTAATTTCTGGGTGCCAGTCCCTCGCTTCTCATCCGACGGGTCTTTCGGGAGGCACCTGGGAAGTCGCCCACCGAGATAGAAAAGAAATAGAGAAGTAACGAGGTGTAGAAGAGTAAGTCACAGGATGGGTTGGGGAGGGAATGCAAATTAGCGCTTATAAATTTTGTTAGCTCTTTATCTTGCTTTTCAAATCCTAGAAACCTAGAGCTAGAAGGGACCTTAACCATGATTAGGTCCACTCTTCTCATTTTACAGATAAGGAAATTCAAGACTCGATGATGCTGTAACATCTTCTTTACCTAAATTGTGGATTGGAATAACTGGTGTCTCTTTGCCCTCAGTCTCTACCCGTGCATTTCCACTGTACAGTGTGTTCTTAATATAGACTTCTTTATGACTTACCCTTTTATTATTGAATATTACTAATTGTCCTTAACGTCTCTTTCCAACACATTTTTTTTTCCAAATGTCTGTCATTTGGTCCTAGTTCTCTTCACTGAAGCTACTCAGAATAAGACTTTCTCCATATTCTAAAGTCTAAGATGTTTTCACTCTTGATTTGGCCACCTATGGTGTTAACTGCCTGCCATCTTCAATTTGATGTATCCTCATTTAAGTTTGTCATATAGACTGGTCTGGCTCCTCAGGTGAAGATATATGAATGAGAAAGCATTTTGCCAACTCTTAAAGTGTAAGGTGTTAGCTTCATAGTTAAGAACCCAGATATTGTATGCATTCTACTACGTAGATGCCTATGTGGCTGTTTCCACTTGATGCCTCCTTATAGAATGTTGTCCTTACCTATCCAGCAGGTTGAGTGGTGATTCTCTTATAAGGTCTACTGTCTGTCTAGAAGAAAACAATGATTTATTTGAATCAAGGTAACTTTGCTAATAAGGTTGTTTTGACAAAGTAAATTTGAATTCATTGAATATATGTGTATGGATGAAATAGAACTGTAAAATTTCCCATAGCAGTTAATGCATAGTTTGATTATTAAAATTAAAGTTCAGTGCTTTAATAGTTCAGTTATGCTTGCACTTAAAGTGGTACCTACTGCGTGCCAGACACATTCTAAGATCTTTGCATATAATAACTAATTTAACACTTATCAACCCTATCAGGTAAGTACTGTTATTGTAGAAACCAAGGCATAGAGTTTAGTAACTTGCTCAAGGTCACACAGCTAAATAGCAGAATTAAGATTAGAACCCAGGCAGTGCTGATTCCAGAATCTTGTTATTAACAGCTATACTGTTTCTCAAGATTTTAAGAATATTAAAATTTTCCCTATCTTGGAATTTTATTTATATTTACCACGGTCAAAATTGATTGTTTTCATTTTAGGAACTTCATGTGTGTGTTTACCAGGATTTCAGATGATCTCTAATAATGAAGGACCTGATATTACTTGTAAAAAGTGCCCGGAAAACATGGTATCAAGTATTTATTTTAAAATAATTGTACTGTAGAAACTAGTAATTTATATATTTTTATTTTTTAAAACTACATTTTAATGCTGTACTATAATACATTCCCAAAACTTTGAAATTATTAAATTAACTTTGTTTTTCTAAAGTAAACTTTGGGGATCAGTGAAATTTATGCAGACTTGGAAAGAAACAAATGTATTGCCTTAATTTTTAAAGTCTGAAATTTAAAAAACCACAAAGCTGTAAATATTTGTGTCTTTATATTTTCTCAGAGAGTAACTCAGTGACTTAAAAAAATAAATGAATGGTACGTATAGAAAACAAGTTGGGATGTGTGTGTTTTTTGACTGGTACAGATTGAGTTCTGTGCCTTACACCTGTTGTGTTAATAGTCTTATATAACAATTCACGTTCATAATGTTACCTAAGGTGTGGGTGTGATAAGTTCATGAAATGCCAATTGCATCACTAAAGAGGTTAAATAATGTCTATGCTGTTTTGTTAGTCATATCATAATTTTAGGAAAATTAGTAAGTTAATAGTTACTATATGTAATGATTCTTAATTAACAGAAATACATTTTCCAATCATTTTGGATAATTAGGAATCTTTGTGAGCTAGTTCTGTTATAGTGATATTTCTTCTCATTATCTGAATAAAGTAATTGAATCTGGGAATTTAATGGTCTAAATTACTATTAAGTTAATTATTATTAAGTTGATAGTTTACCGGTTGTCCTAATTCATGGCTAATTTGATTTAACTTACAAGTTTGAATATCACCTTACTACTTATTTTATATTTTTGCAAATATTAACCATAGGTGAATTATCAATAATAAAAAGCTACTAATATGAAATGACTACAAAGCAAATTTATTTTTCAGTGAGATTACTAAACAAGCATAATTTTTATATTTTTAATGTTTATTTATTTTGAGAGAGAGGGAGAGCATGTGCACACACATTGGCGCATGGCAGCGGGGGGAATGCAGAGAGAGAGAAAGAATCCCAAACAGACTGGTACTGTCAGAGCAGAGCCCAATGCGTGGCTTGATCTCATGAACCCTGAGGTCATGACCTGGGGCCAAAATCAAGAGTTGGACGCTTAACCAACTGAGCCATCCAGGCACCCCAACAATCATAATTTTTAAATAGCCCTATATAATGTACTGCCAAATATAGGAGCATTTCATGATATATTCAGTCTTTTTAACTGAAATTAAAAATAACTCGTGGCATTGTTTTGTTATTACCATTTGTTCTCTATTCATTTTGTTTACATTCATGTCAGTGATATTTTATTTTTGCTCCAGGCTTAAGAAAAATCATATAATATAATATAATATACCTAATTTTGAATGTCATTTTTTATTTTAAAAATACCTTCATAGACGCAATTGGGTGGTTCAGTCGGTTAATCATCTGGCTCTTGATTTCAGCTCAGATTTCATGATTTCATGGTTCATGAGTTCGGGACCCACATCGGCTCTGTGCTGACAGGGCTGAGCCTGCATGGAATTCTCTATCTTCCTCCCTTACTGCCCCTCCACCACTCACACTATCCATAAATAAATACACTTAAAAAAAAAAACCTTCATTAATACAAACAATTCATGGATTGAAAGAAATATCTTTATAACTTAATATTAACAACCTTATTTACATATTATTCATACACCATAAAATTCACCATTTTGAACCATAATTTAATTTTTTTTTTAATTTTTTATTTTTTAAATGTTTTTATTTATTTCTAGGAGAGAGAGAGAGAGAGACAGCATGAGCAGGGGAGGGTCAGAGAGAGAGGGTGTCACAGACTGAAACAGGCTCCAGGCTCCGAGCTGGCAGTCAGCATAGAGCCCGACGCGGGGCTCGAACCCACGAACCGCGAGATCACAACCTAAGCGAAAGTCGGACTCTTAACCGACTAAGCCACCCAGGCGCCCCGTACCGTAATTTAATTTTTAAAAGCTAACATATTTGGATTATAAAAATTAAAGGGGCTCCTGGGTGGCTCAGGCCATTGAACGTCCGACTTTGGCTCAGGTCATGATCTCACAGTTCATGAGTTCCAGGACCACATCGGGCTCTGTGTGGTTAGATTGGTGCCTGGAGCCTGCTTCAGAATCTGTGTCTCCCTCTCTCTGCCTCTCCCCTGCTCATGCTCTGTCTCTCTGTCTCTCTCTCAAAAATAAACAAACATTTAAAAATATTTTAATAAATAAAAATTAGAATATTTTAGAACAGTTAAAACCAAACTATTAATTGACTCTCTGTTGATTAAATCCTGTTGAAATTTGTTGTGTTTTCTTTGTAAATGGAAAAAACTGAATGACAATATTACTTTGAAAGAAAGGACTCATTTGAACTGAAAATCATGAAGAAGAAAGAACTGTTGCCCAGAGTTAACAGTAATCAGTACATAGTAATAATGTATAGCTTAAGTTTGGAATATGAACACAGTTTGGCTTTTCAAGAAATATTTATGTAGCTCATATATGCATGATTTATTTGAATCTTGACTACAAATTATACACTACTGTGGCTTCTTGAATTCACATTATCAATTAAGACAAAGAAAGTTAATTAAGAAGGAGAATTTATTTGTTTATTTATTTTAATTTAGAAAGGTGTTACTAAAGATGGCTGGAATTGCATTTCTTGCCCTGGTGGTTTAACTGCAGAAGGAAAATGCCACTGTCCTACAGGCCATATTTTAGGTAAGAAGTAGATTCTTTATGAAAAAGTAATAGAATCTTCATTTATGCTATTTAAAAAATATTTGTTTATTTTGAGAGAGAGAACATGAGCAGGGGTGGGGCAGAGAGAGAGGAAGAGAACCTCAAGCAGGCTCCACACTCAGCACAAAGGCTGATGCAGGGCTTGATCTTACAAACTGCAAGATGATGACCTGAGCCAAAATCAAGAATTGGACACTTTGACTAAGCCACCCATGCGCCCACTTACGCTATTTTTGATAAGGACATTAATAGAAATACCTTGGTAAACAGTATTTTTTATTGTCCAAAATTTAATGATGTTTAAGTCAACAGAAAGCATTGGGAAGAGAATAAAAAGCACTACCTGATAAAAAAAAAACAAAAAAACAGTCTTTAATAATGTACAATTAGATGGATACTTCCTTAATATGATAAAGAATATATGTTTCAACTCAAAAGCCAACAAGGTGCCTAATAGGGAGAAATTATAAGCATTTCTATTGTTAGGAACTAGTTAAAGATGCACTTAGGTAAGTGAAAGAAACAGGTGGTAGAGTAATTATAAAGGAGGTAAAAATCATTAAAAATTAATTTTAATGATTTGATTATATGTTTAGAAAACCCAAGCGAATTACCAAAAATTATTATAAACAATAAAGATTTTGGAGTATAAAATTAATATCCAAAAATTAGTAGGCTTCTTCTATCTAAACAATCCTTTAGAATATATGAAGGAAGAAAAGACCTCATCTACAGTAGCATCAAAAAGAAAAGAAACACCTATGTATAAACTTTAGAAAAAATATATAAGGTATATCAGTTGAAGAACCTTAGAATGCTCCTGCAAAACACAAAAGTTGGCTTTAATAAATGGAAAACATACCTTGTTCTTGGGGGGGGGGATGAATTATAAAGATATTAGGGGGGGCCTGGGTGTCTCAGTTGGTTGAGCATCCAACTCTTGATTTCAGCTCAGGTTGTGATCTCATGGTACATGGGTTCAAGCCCCGTGTCGTGCTTGTGCTGACAGTGCAGAACCTACTTTGGATTCTCTGTCGCCCTTTCTCTCTGTCCCTCCTCCGCTTGTTTCTCTCTCTCTCTCTCTCTCTCTCTCTCTCTCAAATAAACAAACATTAGGGGTGCCTGGATGACTCAGTCAGTTAAGTGTTCAATTTGGGCTCAGGTCATGATCTCATGGTTTGTGAGTTCAAGCCCCACATTGGGCTCTGTGCTGACAGCTCAGAGCCTGGAACCTGCTTCAGATTCTGTGTCTTCCTCTCTCTCTACCCCTCCCCTACTCTCTCTCTCAAAAATAAAAATTAAAAAATAAATAAATAAATATACATTAAAAAAAATTTTTAAAGTCGTTAGTTCTCCCAATATCCATCTATACATTTAGCAGAACCTTAGAAAATTCTACTAGGATATTGTTTATCTGTTTTAGAGACTGTGCAACTAATTTCAAAGTTTATCTGGAAAAATGTGAAAAGCCAAGAGGAAAAAGGAAAGAGGAAATAGCCCCATCACATACTATGCACACTTTAAAGCTACTGTAATAACATGAATGGCTGGCATATGGGTTACACATACTGATGGGTGGGACTTAAAGTAGAGAATCAAAATAGATCTTATCTGTATCAGAATGTGATTAGGATAAAAGTGGCATTTCATGTCAGTGAGGAAAAGACTGATTAGTAAGTGGTGTTGGGGAAACTTGGAAAATACTAAGTCAGGTTTCTAACTTACTGTTTAAGGAAAAATAAATTTCAGGTCAAATATTTAAATATTAAATATGAATCTAAAGATAAATTTTGAGGGCACCTGGGTGGTTCCGTTGGTTAAGCAAAGATACAGGGAAATATTCATATATTACTGGAGGATTATGAATCTGTGCAGCCTCGATAGAAAGCAGTTTGACAGTATTTATCAAATGTAGATTATTGCCCAGCTAGCCCTTGTCTGAGAATTAACTATTCTAGTGCAGGGAAATATATGTCTGAAGAATTATATACATGGCTTCTTATTGAAACATTAATCCTAAGACAAAATATTGTAAGCAGTATAAAAGTTTGTTAAGAGAATATTGGTCAAATAAACTCTGGTACATCATAAAATGGTAGAGGATGCAGAAAAATATAGATTATCATATAGAAAGATAATGCAGTTCTTTAAGTATTGCTGTGGAAACAAATCCAAGATCCATTAAGTAAAAAAACATTGTATAAAAAGCTTATATTCATTCATCCACAAATATTTATTGGTACCTCCTATTTATCAATTCTGTTTTCTGTATTTGGGAGCTACCATTTATGTTTTCTAAAAAAGATTATATATGCATATGTGTCTGTGCACAGCCTATTTCTGGAAGAATTCACAAGGAACTGATAACGGTATTGCTTCAAGAGGAGCATCTGGGTGAAAAGGATGGGAAGAGACTTAATTTTCACTTAAAATTTTTTTGTGCCTTTTATATTCTATTTATATATTACCTATTCAAAAATTAATTTTATAGGGGCACCTGAGTGGCTCAGTTAAGTGTCCAACTCGTGGTTTCTGCTCAGGTCATGATCTCACAGTTCATGGGATCAAGCCCAGTGTAAGGCTCCATACTGAGCATGGAGCCTGCTTGAGATTCTCTCTCTTCTCTCTCTCCCCCCCCGAAAATTATTTTTTTAAGAAATAAAAATCTCTGCCATCAATTTATTTAAAATCTAGTTAGAAGTCAAGATATGCATATGGAAAAGTAATTTGCAGAGCAAGATAGCAACAAAATATTTTCACAGGGGCACATATATTAAGTCATCAAATGAGCATTTAGAGACAGTAAATGCCCTGTAAGGAGGAACTCACTTCAACCAGGGTTGTTTAGGAAGGTTGGCATGAGGAGGCAGTGTAATAGTGGGACCTTAAAGGATTAATGGGATTTCAAAAGGTAGTAAGAAAGAGAACATTCCAGGCAGACAGAGCAGTGTGAGCAAATGTATTGTTATAAATATAAGCATCTAGATTGGATATAAAGAAATTATGAGAATAACAGTTTTTTGAGTTTAAAGGTCCTTTGGTACAGATGGTGGAAGGTCTTGAATGGTAGGATAGTCTGTAGGCATACTCATTTTGTTGAAAGTTTTGAACAAGAGAATGATGATTAATCTGGCAGCAATCTGTTGCATTTGTTCATTCAACAAATATTTATTGAGCTCCTACTACGTGCTGGACATTGTGCAAGAGCACAAAGGATAAAGCAGTGAGGAGAATACAGTGAACAGGCATGAAGTCCCCACTCTCGTGAAGTTCACATTTGAGGAGTGGAGGAGCAGAAGCAGGGAGAGCTGTAAAGAGGCTGCTGTGGTTCTGTAGACCTGCAACTACAAGGACCTGAACCAGAGCTAAGGCGAATTATACCCAAAGGAGTAGATGCCAGAAACATTAAAAGGATGATAGTAGACATAGATGAGTGAAGGAATATGGGGATGAGGAAAAAGGAAAAGTCAAAAATATCTTTGGGATTTCTTTGGGGAAGAAGGCGATGGTGGTTCATAGATTCATGCTGTGGGGAAGTCAGTATGGACTGAGTTTCTGAAACAACTTTTGACCTCCAGAGATCACTGGTACAAATGGGCAGTTTTCATAAGTTGCTGAGAATGGAGGCTAGATGCCTGGGGGGGCCCAGATGGTGGCTCTGACACCTAGTGACCCCTTAAGGTTGGGTGACAGCTGTGAAAACAATATTTCACTATTTCAGAGGCTACTACTACATACTTAAAATTCTCCATGGCATGAGCTCCTTAGAGCCACCTTGAACTTCTGTTGTTGATTTGTTCTGTGAATTTGCAAGAGAGGTTAGAGAGGAGTGGAAGAGTATGGAAAGAGAGTACATCTTACTTCTTGCATAGCTTCTCTCAACTCTTCTGACATAAAAAGAAAATGATCAGAAAATCAGGTAAATAATATTTTAAAAATAATTTAAGAATAATTATTAAAAATATCAAATAATTCATGAGGCTATAGAATGAGAAATAAAAGTCTACACTCCCCACCTGTTTCACTCCCCAGAAGTTAGCCTAAAGTAATTAATTACTTTTTCTCTGTCTTTCCAAGTTTTTAACGTATTGCAAATATTTTGGTGTTATAAGAACACATGTAGATTTACTGCTTACAAAGATATATATGTATTTTTCAACTTCAAAGTTTTTCTTTTTAAAATTAAAGTAATACGCATATTACTTTATATGGTTTGAAATGTAAATAGCATAGAAAAATATAAAAACCAAGGGTCCTTGCCCTTCTGTCCTCACTCTCATTCTTAGTTCTCTAATGTAACCACTATTAAGTTTCTTTTGTGGTCTTCCAAGAATGCTTTATGTATTTATAGGTTTCTATACGTCCTTGAAAATATTTATATGTTGTCATACTTATTTATTCATAAATATTTGTTGATAAAAATTAAAATAAAATTTAAAATAAAATTATAAAACTTTTTTTTTAACAGAAGGGCAGTTAAGCTAAAAAGCAGTAGCTAGTCCCAGTTCGGTACCAGCAAATGTTTGTCATCATGTAAGAATATGGGTCCCATAAAATCAGATTTTCCTATTTCTTAAGTAATGCTAAAAATACACAATTTTTATGTGAAACCTTCCCATTTAAAATTTTTCAGATTCAAAAAACAGTTTATTGAGCACTACCTGCTAGGTGCTAGGATACAGTGGTGAATCCAACTTAGGTTCTAAGAGGAAGGTAATAAGCAAATGAACAGTGTATGCCAGGGGGTGGTAAGTGCTGTGAAGACAAGGGAGGAAGGGGTGGGGAGTAGACAGAGGGAGCCAAGTGTTATTTTACATGGATGATCATGGAAGAGATCTTTGGAAAGGGAACATCTGAGCAAAGATTTGAAGGAAGTGAGGGACAGAGCCATGTAGATGACTAGGGGACTCATTCTAGGCAGAGGGAATAGCAAATACAAAGATCCTGAGAATGGAACGTATTTGGCATGTTCAAAGAGCAGCAAATATGCTAATGTGGCTAAGGCAAATGAAGAGGAAAGCAGAAGTAGATGGGTCTGGAAAGTTGGGGTGATTGTGTGCAGATCATGCAAGGCCTTTTTGTCTGTAATCATGACCTTAGAAATCACCCCAAGTGAGATGGAAGGCCATTAGAAGGTTTTCAGGGAGTGAAGTCATCACACTTAGTTTTGAAAAGTCCTATTCCAGCCTCTGCCTGGATGATAGAACCAAGGCTCCAATTAGAAAACTGTCATAAAAGTCTAGGTGATAGAATGATGTCCCTCAGTCTGGAGTAGAGTTGTGGAGGTAGAGTGAATAAGTCAGTTTCTGGATATATTTTGAAGGAAGAGCTAACAAGATTCACAGATTTATTTTTAATTTTAATTTTATTGTTTTTAATGTACAGAATGACAAGAAATGAGGAGACTCTAAGGACTAGGGCATAAGTAAATGGTCCAGTGGACTTGCCATTTGCTGAGACAGGGATGAGTGTAGGAGAAACAAGTCATTCACCTTTACTTTGGATAAACTAATTTATACCATCTTGTGAAAACTTAAAACATTATGGACAAAACATTTATAACATTATGATTAGGACTGATGCCCTTTGACCATTTTTCTCAATGTTGGGTCCCTGTAAATTCCCTTAATGCCAGAAGTAATTGTTACCATTTTGATGTGTGTGCACATATACATTTACATGTGTGTTTCCTTCTAGAACCTTTTCTGTTTTAAAATATTATAGTCACATTTATATAATTGTTTTATACCAAAAATATTGTTCTGGAGCAAACTTTTTTCAGCTACCAGTATGATCTGTTAGATTACCTAATTCTTTTTAATCAACTCCATAGTATTTCATAGGATGAATATACCATCATTTTGTTATTTTAAATATGCAGGTTGTTTTCTAACAAGTAATTGCTTCAGTAAATATCCTTATACACATGTACAAGTGTTTCTGTAGGTTAGGTATCTAAAAATGAAATTGTAGTATTTTAGGATATGTGAATTTAGCATTTTAATAGGTACTACCAAAAACCCTCTTAAGTTGTAAAAACATGTCAGCTGTCTATGAAATTACTTGTTTCTGCATACCTACTGAAACAGGGACATACAGGTAAGAAGTAACAAAAAAGAAAAATTAAAGAAAAAATACTAATTTATTATTATGATTTGGAAAGTTAATTTTTGTATTTTTTTTTTTATGTGAGAATGAGGGAGGCTTCACTTTTCTACACTTTGTTATGGTGGTGTTTGACATGCCTCTTTTGCAGATCAGGTATTTAAATATACCTGATTATTTACAATAATTTATTATTAGTAGAATAATAATTACAAGTAGACTTTACTAAGTATATAGAAGTTTATATGTTGACTTTGAGTTACATCTTAATTTTGTTTCTAAATTGTTTAGTGGAAAGAGATGTTAACGGAACATTGTTGTCTCAAGCAACTTGTAAGCTCTGTGATGAAAATGAAAACTCTTTTACAGTAGCAAATGCTTTAGGAAACAGGTAAGCAGTGTGCAGGGTGCTGACTTTAAATAACACCTTACAGGGGCGCCCGGGTGGCTTAGTTGGTTAAGCGTCCGACTTTCGCTCAGGTCATGATCTCATGGTTCGTGGGTTCGAGCCCCGCGTCGGGCTCTGTGCTGACTGCCAGCTCGGAGCCTGGAGCCTATTTCGGAGTCTGTGTCTCCCTCTCTCTCTGACCCTCCCCTGCTCACGCTGTCTCTCTCTCTCTCTCTCCTAGAAATAAATAAAACATTAAAAAAAATTAAAAAAAAAAATAAATAAATAAATAAATAACACCTTACATTTATATGGAATCTGTAACCTTTTAAAAATATTTCCTGAGGGGCGCCTGGGTGGCTCAGTCGGTTGGGCATCCATCTTCGGCTCAGGTCATAATCTCATGGCTCGTGAGTTGGAGTACCACGTCAGATTCTGTGCTGACAGCTCAGAGCCTGGAACCTGTTTCGGATTCTGTGTGTGTGTCTCTCTCTCTGCCCCTCATCCATTCACACTCTCTCTCTCTGACTCAAAAATAAACATTTAAAAATAAAAAATAAAAAAATAATAATCAATGAATAAAAATACTTCCTGTGATATCACTTGTTCCTCATAATAGCCCAAAGAAGATAGAAGTAGACATTAACACATAAAGAAGCTGAAGACCAGAGAATGGGACTGATAAGGGTTCAAAGCTTGACTCAGTCTCTTATCAGTTGTTTGACCTTGGCTAGCTCAGTAAGTCAGTCTTCTTGTCCTTAGAATAGAAATATACCACCCACTTCATAGGCTGTTATCACAGTTCAAAAATAAGTATGTGAATTCTTAGCATAGTGCTTCAAAGTGCTCAGTAAAAGGTAGCTTTTTTTATTATGAAATTTGCATATAATCTCTATATAGTATATAAATATTAGCTTCTATTTGGAGGATACTTACTATGTGCCAGGAATTGTACTTTAAAATAATGTTATGTAAAAAAGCATATTAATAAATAAATGATAATTATAGTAACCCAGGAACTCTGATTTATAGCCCTGTTCTCTGTCATTTCCTGTTTCTCCTTTATGCATACATATGTGCACACCACATACAGTCAGCCCTGCCTATCTAACTCAAACACAGTATCTCTATTTCAGATTCTTCACATTTTTTTTAGAGAGCTACATGATGAGTTTTCTCTTCAGTTCCCAGGTTTAAGAGAGAAAATACCCTGGAGGGTATTTAGTATTAGATTACCTCTTCTCTCAGGCTGATGTGGGTTGTAGTATCCAAATACTAACTACTGGGCTAATACCCAGCTCTTTCCCTCCATTACCGCCTTAAGCCTGTTTCTGTGCCATGCCCCAGCCCCTCTTGCCTGCTCTGTCTTACAAGTAATGAATACTACAGAGCCATCAATGTCCCTGCTAGTCTGGCAGATGCTCTCCCTCCCTGGTTATCATACATTAATGAAAAATGTAAAGTATTTTTCTAAAATAAATAAAGATAATGAATAGACTTAAAAAATGTTTGTCACAGCTTTGATAAGGAGATAGATACATATTTTTTCAGTATGTTTCCTTTTTGCTTTGTGAGAGGCAAAATAAGGAATGTAGATTTCAAATAACTACCTATGAATACAAGTTGGGTTTTATTTATGTGAGTTTTTTAGGCTCTTAATTGAGTGACTTAACCATCTTTGTTGTTAAATGTTATTTATTCTATACACTCCATGTAGTTTCAAAAGAATATTCTCCTATTATTGGTCTTTTTATTTATTTAATCCTTGCTTTGTAATACCAGGAGTGGTATAAAACTAATCAAATCAGTGTTCATATTTTTAATTTGTTTATTATAAGTAATTACTTAGTTGAATGAATCTATTCTAATCCAGCATTTAAGATGACAAGTTTTAATGAAATTAGATCTAGCATAATTCATTAACATTTAAAAATGTCTTTTGTTATATTGACAGATGTGTCCGATGTGAGCCAACATTCATCAATACCAACAGGTCCTGTGTGTGTTCAGAGCCGAACATTATAGTAAGGCCAAGCACATTAATGAAGTGTATATTTTAAAATTAAGTTATATCTTTCCATAAACTGTTTTTCCCCCCATTTTTTAAAATTTATTTATTTATTTATTTATTAAGACAGGGGGATTATGTTTCAGCAACACACTGAATTTTCCTTCACGTGTAATTTCATCTGCCCGTTATGGAGAACTTGTGAGTATGTTTCAGTCTTTTTGTTCCATTCTTGTTGCATTACTTCCTTTGGTCATCAGTCTGGGACTAAAATGTGAACTATTTTTGTGTAAGTCACTTTAAAACAAAAATAAATGACCAATCTAAGAAACATTAACAACCCAGCATTATTATTTATTGGTACAGTTATTCTCTTCTCTACCTTACCTCAAACTTTTTCAGTGAATCTCAGAATGTTTAAGCTGGAAAGGCCCTTTATAGATCCGGTAAGGAATGCAGCATTATTTAAGAGCACCAGAGACTCTAGACTTGAACCCTAGGTTTTCCAGTCATTAGTTTTATATCCTTGGGCTTACTTGATATTTCTAAACTTCAGTTTTATTGTCTGTACATTGGACATAATAATACTTACCTCACAGTGCCTGTACATGCTAATCACTGGATAAACAAGGGTTATTCATATCTGGCCAGGTTCCTCATTCTGTAGATGAGAGCATGGATGCCTCAGGTTAGAGCCTTTGTAACTGATGCTGGTCTGACAAGGTCTGCTGTATAAAATGGGAAGTGGAAGAAATCATGAATCCAAGAGAATAGGAGTTCATTGACTAACTAGGAGTTAGTAATGAACAGTGAAAATAAAATACCCAGGATGCCAGCAGAGCTTGTGGCAGGCAGGCTAGGACCTGGTTGCTCAAATTATCCTTAGATAAATGAGAGTCCTTAGGAGGGACATGAGGACACCCATGATGAAGGTGGAATCTGGACTCTTGAGGAATAAAGCAAAAATTCCTCTTTTCCAATATGGTCTTGTGGGGGTGCTAGGCAAGTACCATGTCTTTTCAAACCAACAAAATAAATGCTAATATTGGGGTACAAATATGGAGCTCTGAGATCACCCTAGAATTGCCTCATTTGTAATAAGATGCATGTCTTCTGGAGTGTTCTTCCCCAGTCTCAGGTTATAGTGACCTTCTGTACCATTGTCAAACTTGCAGGTCGTTAATTTTCATTTTTTTTCTTTTTTCCTTTTTAAAATAATCGTGCCAAAAGTACCAGTAATGTCTCTTTTTCCTCTTTGGTGTCAAATCACCAGTCGTTTAGAGGTCATGTCTCTTTCAGTCTCCTCTGATCTGAAATAGGTCCTTAGTTTTTCCCTCTCTTTTATGAACTCAATAGCTTTGAAGGTTACAGGCCTTACAGTCTATAGAATGACCCTCCACCTGGGTCCATCCAGTTTTTCCTTATAATCAGGACATGCTTGGCAGGAAATCACAAAAAAGATGTCAGTGTATTGTATCATAACAGAGGGCACACAATGTCCATTTGTCCCACCACTGACTTTGATCACATGCCATAAAGTCACCATGTTTGCTATAAGGGTAACATTTTCCCCTTTTTAATAGGTTAGTATTTTGTAAAGAGAATTTTTAAGATTGCTCTTAGTCTTCACCAAACCTAACAGTAAGTTAAACAACAGTAAGTTTTAGTCTCAGTTGGTGATGTTTGCCTTTATCAGCCACTACTATTATGGTTGCCAAATATTTACATCATTCCTTCTTCATTTATCAATTAACATTCTACTATAAGAAAGAGTTTTTCCTTCTTCCTGTTTATATATTTGTTTGTTTATTAATATAAGCATAGATTAGTGGGTTCCTATTGTATTCACTTGTTGTTATAATCCAATATGTGCATTTATTTGTTTTGATCCTCAAGTTGTCCTAGGTTTAGCTAGTAGAAGCTTCTCCAATTTGGCTTCTGTGTCTTTTTGATATATCTCCATCATTCTTTGAGCATTTCCTTTCTTTCTGGCACAAAAGATTTCCAGGCTTTTCTTGTACTTTTCCTACCTCAGCCCTGGAATCATCCATTTCTCTAGAATTTCTGGAGGATAATAATTAGATACCAAGATTACCACACAGAATATGCCCTTTTAGGAGACAGACACCTATATACATACACATCTGTAACTATTTATTTTGTATATATATTGAAGTAAATAAGTTCCTATTGATACTTTCAATTCCAAAGCAATACCTCAGCATTCCTTCTAACTTTCCTTTTGGCAGATTTTAAGTACCTTCTCCCTAGTAGTGAGAAATCTGGGTCTCATCTTAAACTTACTTGTTTGCTCTGTGTAATAGTTTTCCAACTATATTGCTCTCTTCCATACCACCTCCACATCCTTCCTCACACCATTTTGCAGAAGATCTGTTGCTGACTTCTGTTAAGAAAAGGTGGACAGGGAAAAGTTAATCTGATTCAGTTAATGCATTTCATTTAAACATTATCAGTCACTGATGCATTCCTAAGGACAAGTTTGGAAACCTTGATTTCAAGTCATTTTATAACTAATGTTGAGACAGATTCTGTGTAGCTGAAGTTGTGAGGCATGTAAACAAATGTAGTTAAGATTATGTGACTGTTTTGGCCTAGTCCTCAGCCTGGCGGGTGTAAGCACCCAGTTTTAGCAGTGCACTTGTAGTCAGTGAGGCCCTAGAGGACCAGTACAAAGTAATGAAACCCACAAGAGACCAGATGGATTGATAAATCAAAATGTATGTTTATTAGTTTATATGTATTGCCAGCTAGGCTAAAATACTTATATTGACTTGATAATGTACATGCTTCCTAATTGGAAAAGTGTACTTAGAATGTTACAGATTAGATGTTCTCTTGGATAACACAGAATTGGAACATAATTAGTTTTCTATAATTTTATGAGAGGCATATAATCCTACTCTAAGAATGTACCTGCCAGTCAGTAAAGAGTTTCCATATATATGGGTCAGTGTCTTCCTATTGTCTGTCCCCGAAGATAGTAATAGTGATCTAGCATCTTGCTCTTGTGTTTTTCTCAACTTTTCTTTTGAAAATTTCAAAATTACAGAAAAGTTAAAAATATAAGACCAGGGTGTGCCTGGGTGGCTCAGTCAATTCTGAGCATCCAACTCTTGATTTCAGCTCAGATCATAATCTCACGGTTCGTGGGTTCAAACCCCACATTGGGCTCTGTGCTAACAGCATGGAGCCTGCTTAGGATTCTCTGTCTTCCTCTCTCTGCCCTTCTCTGCTCACTCATGCATTCCCTCTCAAAATAAACTTTAAAAAAAGTACAAGACCAGGGCTATACGAATAGCTTTCACCTAGGTTAACCAATTATTAATATTTTGCTGCATTTGCTTTATAATTCTGTGTGTATGTAAAATGCATGAATACACACACACATTTTTTTTGTCAAAGCCACTTGAAAATAAGTTGTAGACTTGTGACACTTCACTCCTAAATATCTTATTATATAGTCCCTAAGAACAAGGGGGCTTTCCTGGCATCACACCAAGGAAGTTTAAAACTAACAAATTTATCTGATACACTGTTCATATCTAAATTTACCCTTTGTTCCAGTAAGGTCCTTTATTCCTCCCTTTTTGTGGGGACAGGGAGAGGGGAGACGAGAATCCAAGGATCCATTTAAGGATCCCACAGTGTAATTAGTCTTTTAGTTTTCTTTAATCTAGACCATGCTGTGTTTTGCTTTTGTGCGTTTTTGTTGTTGTTTTTGCTTTTTTGGCTTTTACAGAACTGAAATGCAGAGTCCAGATCTCTTGTAGAGTGTCCTACAATCTGGATTTTTCTGATTGTTCTCTCATGGTTAGATTCAGTGAAACATCTTTTTGCAAGAATATGATGTAGGTATGTGTACAGCCATTGCATCATAACAAAGAGCACATTTAGGTTGTACAGTTCCTAATAATGCTAAATTTGATTGCCTTGTCACAGTGGGCTCTGCCACTTCTCCTCATTGTAGAGGCATTGTGGTTAATAGGTCACTCTGAGATTTTACTTTGAGACTTTGTAAATATCCATTTTAGTGGTCACTGATGAGCCAGACTTGCCTGAATCAAATTTTAAATTGGTCGTTTCAAAATAATTCCACAATTCTCTTATACCCTCTACATTTAGTAGCTAGCAATCATCTGTAAAGAGTGCATTCCTTTCTCTCTATACTTTTTTTTTTCACTTTGAACTCATGAAACTTTTATTCAGTGTGTTATCATTATTTACTGTTTTTTTTTTTTTTCAAATTTCAAAGTGTCTTTGGGCTTCACTTTGAGATAGTTCCTATGTTATTTTGACGTGTCTCCATCAGTCTTTTGTACTTCCTTGGTTTCTCTACACTATGTTCCAGGCTCAACCAATATACTTTTTAATAGTTACCTAACACTCTCATTAATACACTGAAATTTACATAATCAGTGACTTTGAATATTTAGGTTTTCTGTTATTAATAATATTACTATCAACCATTTTATGCACACAGATATGTTTTTCCTTTTGGAGAGGTTATTTCCTTATGACAAATGTCCCAAGTGTTTCTAAATTCCTGGGTTAAAATGTGTGGACATTATTTTATGAAAGGATCATGCAGCTTTAACACTGTCACTGGAATTGTCTGTGGGTTTATTTTACATGAATTTCTAAACACTTGTCATTGCTTTCCATTTTTACTGTGTTTTTTTTTTTTTATGTGTTCTTCAGTCTTGTACACAGAGGTGACTTTGTTCTTTAAAGGGAGAATTTTTGCTCCTTGACGAGATGAAAATAGTGACTTTGAATTTTACTTTAGATTTTTTTTATAGCTATGGTGCCGTGTTCCATATAATTTGGCTTTCTCTCCTCTCTGAATGGTGTTTCTCAGTGTGTCATTTTTTAGCAAGATGTGCAGATAAGCTCTAAAGCAGTGGTGCTTAGCCAGAGATTTGTATCTCCAGCTTTCAGAGCACATGCATGCCTTGGTCTCCTGGAGATGGATTTGGGATGCAGTCAGGCATTGTCTGTTACTAGGAAATTCCACTGGTGACTCTGCTGCCCATCATTATTCAAGAATCACCACTTTGGAGATGTTAAACATCAATTACTCTGTATATCCCCAATCTCCTGTTGCTTAGAAATCATTCATAAACGTTTCTTTATCACTTGCCACTTTAATATAGTATAATAATCCTAAATCAACACATGTTAACAATGAAAAAATCAGTATCTAGTTCTTTTATTTTTTGCCATCTTATTTGTTTCTTGTATTAGTAAAATTAGTACAAGAGTTCTTTTGGATTATAGACACACCTTGTTTCCTTATATCTTATGCCTAAGTGACATGATTTTGTAATGCAATAGCTGAGTTTGGTTATAATTAATTCTTATATCCTCAATAAAACTATTTTCTAATTACATTGAGAAAGTAATAGTAGCCATTTCCCATTGGAAAATATGCATATTAGTATTTTCTTAGCAATGTACATAAGGAATCTTCATTTGAACTCAAAACTAAAACTTACCTTTTTGTGAACAGGGTATGTCTTTCACTTCAGAATGGTTTGCAAAGTATTTGCAGTCATCAGCAGCTGCTTGTTGGGTACGTTTACATTTTTTTAATATAATTTTATTTCACTTTAAAGAATTGTCCTGCCACCATTTTTTTCCCCCAGATAATAAAAGTCTTCTAATATATACCTTCTAGATATATCTCCTTGGTCATATTCTATAAGAAGAATAACCCATTTCTAATGTAAAGAAAATACACAAAGAAAATTTTTCACTTCACGTTTCAATATATACAAATTGAATGTCTTTAAGCTTGTTCAGCTAGAATTGAGTGTTAGGGGAAAGTGATTCATACTGTCATTTATTAAATATTGATTATTGACCTACTGTGTGCCAGGCCCTATTCTCAAATCAGGTTATGTATTTCAGAAAAAGACAGGAAGAAAAATCCCTCATGGAATTATAGTCTAAGTAATTGCAGGTGGTACTAAGTGCTATAAGACAAATAAACCAGGATAAAGAGCATATAGAGTGGAAGCGGTACTATTTTATACAGGGTGTTTGGGATATGTATCTCTGTGGGTGATATTTGAACAAAGTCCTGAATGGAAGTGAAAGTGGAAATATCCAGAGAAAGAGTGTTCTAAGTAGAGACCACGGAAAGTACAGAGATTCCAAAGCATTTCTTTTTTATGTTCATACTTAAGAAACAGGAAGGAGACCAGGGTGGCTAGAGCAAAGTCAGTAAGTAAAGGAAAGTGGAGAGGTGAACTTGGAGATGAAGGGAGTGGCTACGGCAAGGACCAAGAGTTTACTGCAAGGGGGATTAGAAGGATTTTGTGCAAAGGAAGATGATGATTGAATTTCAGATTTTGAAAGGATCACTAGCACGGAGAATAGATTTTGCTGAAGCAAGACAGAAGCAGGGAGACCAGTCATAAGAGTATTACAGTAAGCCGCGTGGGAGATGGTGGACCCATGAACAAGAGTGGTAACATGGGTCTGAGCGAATTTCAGCTTCTAGATGAACTGTGAAGTTTGAGGCAATGGGATTTACTGATGAGCTGGGTATGGGAAGGGAGAGAAAGATCACTGCAATGTTTGACTTGAATCAACTGTAAAAAAATAGAGCTACCTCTTCTTGATAGGGAAAACTGAGAAGTTTGAGTGGCAAACTCAACAAATCAGTATTCTTTCAAATATAATTATTTTATCTAATAGTTTAAAAAAAATTTCTTTTTAATGTTTTATTTATTTCTAGGAGAGAGAGACAGCATGAGCAGGGGAGGGTCAGAGAGAGGGAGTGACACACTCTGAAACAGGCTCCAGGCTCTGAGCTGGCAGTCAGCACAGAGCCCGACGCGGGGCTCGAACCCACGAACCGCGAGATCATGACCTAAGCGAAAGTCGGACGCTTAACCGACTAAGCCACCCAGGCGCCCCTAACTAATAGTTTTTTAAATGGCATGCTGTGTATTTAGTTAGTTCTTTTTTCAACTGCTCATCTTTATATTTTCACCTATAATTTACAATTAAAATGTACACATTATTCAAGTGGAAAGTTCTTTTCTACTTAAATCAGAGCAAAGGTATTAAAGAGCAAAAGGATACCGCCAAAAAGAAGTTATAGACTAGGTACAAGCATAATTTTTATATCAGCTTTTGCTTAGAGTATTACAATCCATGTTACATTTCTTTGCCATGGTTCTCTCGTAGGTGTATGCCAATCTAACATCTTGCCAAGCTCTCGGAAATATGTGTGTGATGAACATGAATTCTTATGACTCTGTCACTTTTGATGCATGCCGACTGTTTCAGTTTATCTTTGAAAATACTGCTGGACTGCGCACTGTTCATTCTATTTCATTTTGGTAAAGATATCTCAATTGATGAACTGTCATTTTGACTAAATTCAGTGCAGTTACTTTCACAAACATCAGTAATAAGATATATTGGTATCCCGTTACTAAAACAGTTGTGATTTTTTACAGGAGACAGAATCTTCCATGGCTGTTCTATGGAGACCAGCTAGGATTAGCACCTCAAGTACTCAGCACCACACCTCTTCCTACAAATTTCAGTTTTAAAGGAGAAAGCCAGGTATAAGTTACTAGATTATTAGAGAACAACTATATTTTGATTAATAATTTAAAATGTAATAAGAATGTTATTAGTCATAACTCTTGCTTCCTTAAGATTTCTCTAAAAATTTAATTACTAAACTAAACCAAAATATCAGCTGCATATAAAAATTAAACAATATAGAGTCTAGCAGTCTTACTGAGTATATGAATACCTCTGGATTCTGTGGTTGTGGTGGTAAGTAGTACATGTAGGACTGGGAAAATAGTTTTCATCACCAAATACAAAACAAACTCTGTCCTTCTGTGTCTCTACATTTTTAAGAACTGCTTCCAAAGATTGATTGGGACTCTGCCATTTCCAGAGCACAACTTTTTGTGCTAAGGTCCAAATTTTTACCTTTGGCTTTTTGACCTTCTAGAATGATGGAATAGATTATTCTTGCCCCTGCTTACTACCCCACTCTTCTACACACACACAAACACACACACACACACACACACTCTGAACAGGTTTGAAAGGAAGTTACCTGTTACTGGCATTGCCTCTCAATTCTGGAATAATGGTTTTAAAGGAAAAAAAAAGCCAGTTCATTTATTTTAGGTGTGTTTAATTATAAAGATACTTAGATTAATTTTGCTTCAAACAAAGGTAGTTGAATTTAATATTTGATTTTTGGAAAAAGAAAGGATCAGTCAATAATAAATGTTTCTGTATAGAATACTACATTGCTTCTAGAGTATGTAACATTTTACTCTTGTTTTTATTTAATCAGAATAGAAAACTGAAATTTATTGCTGCCTCCTATGATGTAAGAGGAAATTTTCTGAAGTGGCAGACTTTAGAAGGAGGTGTTTTACAGGTGAGCATACTTCTAGCTAAAGAATTCCTAAAGTGCTTTATTTTTGCTTCTGCAAAGATAAGGGAAAAACTGTATGTTTACTAGATTAGAGTGTCTAATGCAAGTGCATGGCTAAGTTTTTTGGGGTTTTTTTTTTTTTGTGCTTTAAATGAGAATTTCTTAAAACTACTTTAAGTAATATTATATAGAACATGTTATGGAAGGATTTAAGAACTCTCGACTATAAGCAAAGAAAACATTATTCTGAGATGTTTATCATTTGTATTGTTTTGCTCTAGCTTTGTCCAGACACAGAAACAAGACTGAATGCTGCTTATTCTTTTGGAACAACCTATCAACAAAATGTAAGTCTGGACTTACATTTTAATTTCATTTCCCATCAGCAGTAATTGGGATGGTCTTTGAATTTTCAAAATGTTTTCAATAGTAGTGAATACTTTCACGGATTACAGTTTTTTATTATTTGGGTGTGGAAAATACTACTTTGTCATCTATGGAGTTTAAACATCATAAAATATTAGATTTTCATAATTATTGTTTATTTACTTCTAGCCGTATAGGTTTTAAAAATAATATTTTCTTCTGAGCATTTTCAAATAAAGTGAAAATACTATTTTTAGTGACTAATAAAAATATTACTCCCTCTTCTCTCTACCCCCCAGTTAACAAATAAAAATGCCTCTTTCTCTCTTTCCACACTTTTTTCCCTTCTGCCCTCCCTGACCTTCCTTCCATTGGTAACCCATTTTGAAATTACAGTATGGTACAAAGGAATATTATAAGCCATTAAACTTCTGAAAGATATTCACTTGTCTACAGAAATACTTCTTGATAAGATGCATATACATACACCATAAAACAAAACTGTGATTCCACTTTTGTTAAAACTGCAATGAAAAATATCATCATGGAAAACAGATTGGAAGACAATAAACATTTTTAACAGTGGTTATCTCTGGATGGTGGGATTGCAGGTGATTTATTTATTTATTTTTTTAATATTTTCCAAACCTCAGGGGCACCTGGGTGGTTCAGTTAGTTAAGCATTTGACTTTGACTCAGGCCATGATCTCGCGGTTCATAAATTCCAGGCCCACCCCAAGCTCTGTGCTGACAATTTGTGGAGTCTGGAGCTTCCTTTGGTTTTGTGTCTCCCTCTCTGTCCTTCCCCGGCGCTCTCGCTCGCTCTCTCTCTCAAAAATAAATAAAACATTAGTATTTTCTAAACCTCTGTCATAAAAGTGAACTTACTTTTATTATCATAAGTGACTTATGTTATTAAATAAAAAAAAAAAAGAAATATTATTATGTGTCTACCATTAGCCAGAAGAATCAACACTAGTTAAATGCGGGCTGCTGAATGCACAGTGTTTTGTCATTGTGATCGCATTGGATCCATGAAATCACTATGTGAGATACATATCATTGTACATATCATTCATAGATAAGGAAATGGTGCTCAGTGAGATTAAGTAATTGACTTAAGGTCTTACATCAGGTTATTGTGGAACTGGTGTTATGTTAAACTTAGAAACTATGGTTTTTACATTGAACTCGGCGGCCTCTGAAGTAGTTCACAGCCTAATAGAAAAAATACTATATAGACAAAAAACCACAAAGAATGTAGAATGTGGTGTGTACAAAGTACCGTATTGACACAAAGGAGGAGTCATCTGCAGTTCCTGGGGAAGTACTGGAAGGCTTCTCAAAATGAGTGATATTTGGTCTTGTAGAATGAATATGAGTTTGCCAGGAAACACAATGGGGAAGGGAATATCAGGCAGGAGCACTTGCAGTGTCAGAGAGACATAGAAGAGCATAGCATATTTAGGAACTGCATTAGGTTGGTATGAATGGACCATAGACTGGTAGGGAGCAGTGGGAGATAAGCCTGGTTCTGTTAAGGGAAGCCAAATCATAGACAACACTGTACATCAGTGTTGTACATCAGGAGAAAGAATTAAGACCTCATCCCATAGGACAGTAGTTTTTAAACTTTTTCACTGATATACACTTAATGTTGAGAATGAAGACATACCCTCTCCAGCTGTGTTGTAGAACAAGAACCAGGCACTTCTTTATTTTTATTTCTTTTGGCTCTTAAAAAGAATCATAGTTTTCATGTTTTGGAAGTTTCATGGGAGTGCATATGAAAAAGATAGTTTAAAGATATAGATAGTTTAAAAACACTTTTTTTTACATTTATTTTTGTTTTTGAGAGAGACAGAGTATGAGTGAAGAAGGGCAGAGAGAGAGGGAGACAGAATCTGAAGTGGGCTCCAGGCTCCGAGCTATCAGCACAGAGCCCAATGCGAGGCTTGAACTCACGAACCACGAGATCATGATCTGAGCCAAAGTTGGATGCTCAACTGACTGAGCCACCCAGGCACCCCAAAAAACACTTTAAAAGATTGAATATGCTTTCTAATTTTCAGTGCTTATTTTTTATTTTCCAGTGTGAGATTCCTATCTCTAAGATCTTAACCGACTTTCCCTCTCCTATATTTTATGATGTGTACCTTGAATATACTGATGAAAATCAACACCAATATGTTTGGGCTGTGCCTGTGTTAAACCTAAATCTTCAACACAATAAAATATTTGTAAACCAAGGTAAGATATCTGTATATACCCTTCTCTCTCTGAGTTCAAAACCAATAAATAAGTCAACTTTCATGATTATTTAATAAACCATGGGTTATAAAAAAGGTGATGGGTCTCCTCTTATTAAATGATTTTAGATAGTCTATCAAGAAGTAAAACAATAAGACTGCTGGTATATTTAGAAATTTTTGCCAAATGTATCAGGCTTACTGTTAAGAAATTAAATATTATTGTTAACGTGGAAGTTGAGAAAAAGTAGTAGAACTGTAAATTGGGGCTTCTTCAAGCTGTTCTCAAGCTACTTTTCAGACAAGTTCATTTATTTTCTTCTCGTATTATAAAATCCTTCCTATTCAGGTAATTTGTAGGGAAACTTCTTCCAAACTGATGAAAATCCAAACAATCAGAAGACATTCAAGTGAGGTGGGGGAAGCTATTACCAGGAATTTCTTGCAGTGATAGCTGTTTGTGCAGTCATCTTATCTAAAACAAAATGTGCTAATTTTGTGTTTCAAATTTATTCAGTAACTTCTCGAGAACCATGTTGAACAATTTGAACGTATCTTTTAATGCCATCTTTTTCTTTTCTTTTTATGGTAAAAGACAGTAGCTCTGGCAAGTGGCTTCTGACTCGGCGCATTTTCTTAGTGGATGCACTAAGTGGACAAGAAAACGACCTAGGAAGTCAGCCAAAATTAATTAGAATTGCTACCCAAATATCACTGAGGTGAGCAACCATCTGTTGTACTAACTTAAGGTTGGAGTGTATGGGAAAGTGTGGTAATGAAAGTGTTTACTAGTAATCAGATGAAAACAATAAGGACAACTGAATTGGAACAATACATAGGGATTTTTAGATATCTGTGTAGACTGGTATATACACCAGTAGAAGTAAGGAGCTCCAAGGGGAGAATTCTGTCAGGAGAACCTAAGCAGCTTTTGTCAGAATTCTAGCCCTTCTTACTAGAATGGGTTGAGAGGTGGAGGGGAGCTGAGTAGCAGTGAGCTGAAATGGGAATGTGAGAAGGAGCGTGCCCAGTGGTTGCAATGGGTAGGCTTCTGTGTTTTCATCTCCTTTCACAGCTACTGTTCTGCCTTAGCCCACATTAACTAGCAACACCTCCCTCTTCCTAGGATCTTAATGATGACCGTACCTTAGAATAGTGCCTGCAGCCCTTATTTCTCTGTTTTTAGTGTGAGATTCCTACCTCTAGATCATAACTGACTCTCCTCATTCTGATGTTTTTTTAAATTTTCTTTAATGTTTATTTATTTTTGAGAGAGAGAGAGAGAAAGAGTACGAGCGGGGCAGGGACAGAGAGAGAGCGAGATACAGAATCCAAAGCAGGCTTCAGGCTCTGCACAGTCAGCACAGAGCCCAACACGGGGCTTGAACTCACGAGCTGTGTGATCATGAAACTGAGCTGAAATTGGATGCTTAACTGACTGAGCCACCCAGACATCTCACCCACTCTTAATATTTTTTGATGTGCACATCGAATGCACTGGCAAGAATCAACACCATCATTTTACATGAGTCTGGCACTTTGAAGCATTTCAATTTACATACACATTTTTTCATTGTTATTTCATTCTGATTTTCATAGCAATCTTATGAGGTACAGGGAGTATGGAAGCTTTACCAAATATCTTCCCTAAGTCCAAATATACTGTGTTTTTTAGCATCCCCTCCGGCTATTAATGTAGTATCATTGGTAAAAATGTAATTGGATCTAACCAGGTCTAATTTGATTGTGGTAAAACCATGCTGGCCCCTAGTGTTTCACACTTTCCTTTTCGAATTTACGAACTATACTCATGCATTGAATTCAGCAGAATATATCCCATGGTGTGCTATAATCAGTACTAGATATGACATACATTTTTTTTGTTAAAAATTCATCTTTCTCTTTTGAAAATTTTGGTGTTATCTGTCTTTTCCTAGGCTTCATGTAACACTTCACTTTTGACTATTCCTCAAAGATGGTTCATAGTACTTCAGATTTCATTTATAAACTTCATAAGACCTAGATCAAGAACAGTTTCTAATTTGTCTCAGATGGTATATTTTAATATTAAAGTTTTGACTACTTAAGATATAGCTTATGTTGTTACCATTATTTTGCTTGACCCTCGTCCTTATTAACTGGTTGATTCTGAGATCACCAAGACTATCCATATTAAATTAAAAAAAAAGACAACAGCAGTAAGTCAACTGTATGTTTAAGGACTTAGATATATTTATAACTAAAAATGTATTTTCTTTAAACAGCATCTATCTTGTACCCGGTACAAAAAATGGAAACATTTACCCTCCCTTAATTACCATTGCCTACAGTGACATTGATATCAAAGATCCCAACAGCCAGTCTGTGAAGGTGAGTTCCATGCTATTCAGTGGCTCTATATGTGTCAGCGTAATACTGATGCAGTTTACATTATGGTCAAAAGTTATTAGTCTTTTTTCAAGTTTTAAATAAATACTGCTCTAAATATAGTCAAGTCTTAATTACTTTTTACTAATAATGGTGAAGGTGTGTTCTTTACAGATCCTTCAAGTAAAAAAGCAAGAATTAAGTTTCTTTCTAGACACCATCACCAGAAGCTGGGCGTCCCTGTTTAGGACCCTGGGGTGCGCTGAAATAGGCAGTGTCTGCTTCTGTTCTCTTTGGCCAACTTGCTTGCACTAAGATTTTGCTTCCTTGGCTAATGAAAGAAGAAACCCAAACTTTTCAGAGGCATATATGTTCCTCTTCTCACCAGGCTTGCTCACTTGATGAAAATGCACTTCAACAAGTAGAAAGATTCAAATCATCAGTAGTTTATAACGAGTAGTGCTAAAGTGAAATAGAGAATAGTTTGGACCTGCAACCAGGTTGGCTTCCTGCTATTTCCCCAACTCAAATTAACTGCAGAACTAAAGGCCTCCCTTGCCTGTAAGGGCCCATGAGTGGAGTAGAGGCCTCATACACTCTGAAGATGGGCTACACCACAGAGAATGAGCCTGGAAAAGGCTGAGCACACACACTCAGTTCTACCTCCCAACCTCACGAGCAGTCAGATAAAGCCTCTCTTCTTTGAGGAATGGTACATGACAGAGGGATAGAGATCAAAACCAGAGGTAATCCTTCTATACTTTTTCCTCAGAGAGATTAGGTAGCCATTCCCTTCCCTGTCTGGAAACATAAGAGGTATTTAAACATCCCCTACCTCCAAACCTCACTAATAGCTTTTAATTTCTACTATTTTGCTTCTCTGAATTTTAATGATCTAGTTCCAACAGACAGTACTTCTGACTTCTCTGTCGTATTTCTGTTTGTACTCAGCTGCTACTAGATTCAGGCTTCCATTAAGGAAAATATGGGCATATAACATACCTTTTCTCTGAAAGATTTTACCTCCTCATTTGTATGACCTACTTGGATGTTTAAATTAGTTTCCATTGCCTGAGCTTGTATGCACCTCTCCTTTCCACAAGGAGAGGAAAATCCAGAAACTTGCTTAGTAACAACAAAAGACTGCCTGGTTTAAAATTTCCCGGGTAGGGACACCACTTGGGTGGCTCAGTCCAGTAAACTCTGTGTTGAGCCCCAAGTGGAGCCCCACATCAGGCTCTGCTGACAGCATGGAGCCTGCTTGAGATTCTCTCTCTCTCTCTCTCTCTCTCTCACAAATAAATTTTTAAATAAAATTTTCTGGGTAATCAAGAGTATACTTATTTTAAGATAAAACATTTCTGGGTCTTTTCTTTAACTATCTTTTTGTTTGTTTAACATATTCCAAGGTAAGTCTCGATAAATTGGAAAATAATAGAAAAAGAATTGAGAGAATCATGAAGCCATACTGATGAAGTCCCCCTCAAATTCATTCTAAGTATAGAATGTACGGTTCTTTCATCATTTCTTAATTTTTCATGAGAGCTGTTGAAAAATTCAACATTAATGAAGCATTCAGCTATATCTCTGCTGTCTCACCAACAGCAAATACCTTTCCCTCACATTTTCTGAGCAGACCAAGAGCATCCCTTAGATTTCCCCTCAGATAAGTGTCCTCAGATTTCCGCTGTAATACTTTAGAATCTCTGTTCCATTATCCTTCCTGCCTCTTGTTCCGATTTTTATGAACAAAGGGCCCTTCCTCCTTACTTAAGTTAATCTTCTACCTGTGCTTGTTTGTAGTACTTTTTCCAGCATCCTGTCTCACCACCCTTCCCTTATCCAGCCAGCTTCTATGCTGGCCCCTTTGCTTTGCCTGTAACCACTCTCAAGTTCTCCCATCTTAAAAGCAAAGTAAAACAACCAAACAAAATCTTTCCTCAATTCTGCCAGCTTTTTAGCTTGCTATCATATATCTTTCCTTGATTCCACAGCCATTTACTCTTTCATCATTTGCAGTCTGGCTCTTGCCATTCTGTGTCTTTGAAAACCTCATTCTTTAAAGGTCAGCAGTGAATTTTACATACACTGGCTTTCTTTTTTTTTTTTTTTTAATGTTTATTT